GAAAAAAAAACTTTCATATAATAATTTACAAAATAATTAACAAAGGTTCAAAGGCAATAAAAAAAATAGCTTAAGTATAACATGGATTTGGACCCAACTAAACTGAACATAAACTCAAACCAAAAACTGACCTAATGAAAAAAAAAAACAGGCTGCTTTAAACAGGGGAGGAATAACCTAAACTTGCCACATGGGGGAGGCACAATTTACAGAAAATCAATACATTTAAAAATCCATACAAAACTAACACATACTAAACAAATAACTCTTTAGCTTAGCACAAATAATAAGTGAATATTAAGGTGACAAAATAACTAAAGTCAACTTAAACTAAATTCCCCCCTCAGTTCTTTGGGAAAGTGGATTGTTCCTGGCTTCCACCTACAGCTGATCTGCATTTTAAGAGCCTCAAAGAAAATACGGTAAGTGTGAATTAAACCATTCAGACATTAACTAAAGTGTGCACCCATTAGAAAATATACTTCTAAATGCTAAATAAACTAAATCTGAAATTAAATAATTACTATGAAACACTTTGTGGTGGGGGTAGAAGGATCCACCACACCTAGTATCAATGTCATTAATATCGTATACTTGGGTCTATGGTGGTTTCAAAAGCACTAACTCTGTGTTCAGTCCAAAACCTTTCTTCATTTTCTCTAAACCCTCAAATTTGCTTTACCATTCTCTCAAGGTGACAACTACCATCCTTACTGCTGTTTTAAAGTTTTATGGCAACATTTTTCCTTCCTCTTAACTTTCCAACAACGGTCTTGGGCACAGCTTTCTCTAAACGACCAGCTGTTTTTTGAAACTATCTTGTGACAGGCCAAAAAAATGTGTTTTGGGAAGATTGTATTTTTAGATGCTCTAAAAAGGTACATCTCAGAAAGTTGAAATATTAAGTTCCATATTTTAGTCACTCATTTCATACTAAGAAATATTCAAGCCTTTATTTCTGATTAATTTATTTCTCAGATAATACAAGAAAATTAAAAGATACGTTTTTTTTTATGAAACAAGCATTTTTTTTATTTACTGTAACAACCATATTATGTCTTCTGGACATACATCAAGTATATGATTTTACATATGTCCAGAAGACATTTTTGGTCACAGAATACAGCAGCGAAGCATGTTTATAGGAAGAGGAAAAAGTTGCAAAGGAAATATGGACATAGAAATTCAACCTTGAGAGGAATATCAATCAGAGTCCATTCAAGAACTTGGTGGTGCTCCACAGGAAGTGGACTGAGGCTGCAGTCAGCGCACCACTTCCTACAGAGAAATCCTAAACAGGGCTTTAAAATGCAGATCTTAGAGTCTGAAGGAAGAGCGGGGAAACAGACTCTGTGTTGTTTAAAGTCCAGAGATGATTTGAGGTGGTTTTCATCTGCTCGGCGTTGGTGTACTGTGTTGTCTGAGGTTTAATGTCAGTGCAGCGTTCTAACAGGACCTATTGAAGCACCTATTGTGTCCTTCTTCTGACAGGCTTTCTAAAGATGCTGATTTTATTTTCGAGCATGAGTTGGAACCTGCCCAAAATGCCAAATGCTCCAGAAACTGGTTCAGTAATCATGGTGCTATTGTTCTTGATTAGGTCTGCCTAAACCTCTATGGGAACCTTAGCAAAATTAGATTTTTGGGTCCTCTAAAAATGTCAATTGCTGCAACAAACGGTCTGATGAGAAGATCATTCACACATCTACTGTATGCTCTGTACATCTGATATACATCCTTTTACAGTAAAGGTTTCATCTGGTTTGTACTTCTTAATTTGCACTGCAATAGAAATGTGCAAAAAAAAAATTGTAATACAAGAACATATTGTACAAAAAGGCAGAGTGTCGCAGTTTGCAGAATTGCCTTGCAATAATAAGGTTTTGGGTTTGATTCCCGGCCCGTGGTCTTTCTGAGTTCTCATCAGGTACTCTGGCTTCCTCCCACAGTCCAAACGCATGACTGTTATGTTAACTGGCATCACTATATTGTCTTTAGGTGTGAGTGTGTGTCCATGTTTGTTATTCTTTGTATGTCTCTGTGTTGCCCTCCGACAGACTGCCGAGTTAATAACAAAAAATATTATTAAATGAAATGCAAAATAAGTCACCTGAAGACACGTACTCTAGATATTTGAAGGTTTAAATTTAAATAATTAATTCTTAAGACTGTTTAAATGTGGAATTATAACCAAAAGCTCTATTTTAAACCATAAACTGCTTTTCTCTACATATATTTTTTGGTGCTACAGTGTTCTACCCCAATACTCCACTCACTATTTAAAACTATTTTCTGTTTTCAAATTCACTATAGATGATCTAATGGGACAGCTGTGTTGATCATTAATCTCTGCCTGCCCCCTCCATCATTGATCCGTCATTTAAGATTTCACGTGGCTCTTTACTAAACTGAGTTTAGCAAAGCTCTGCTCTGCAAATGTCACAGCAACAGTCACAAGAAGAATGCACGCCGCCCTCGGAGCTACAGTACCAAAACATTTGGGTAAATCTCAGATCTTAATGTCAGAGAAGGAAGTGAGTAAATAAGGTGAATGTCTGGAAGGGTTTCCTTTTCTGAAGCCGGTACTGTCAGAATGTTCTCCAAAGATAATTTGTTTTGGTAAAATTTAAACTGTTCCACATCTGTGTGTCAATGTATATATATATATATATATATATATATTTTCATTTTATTTATTATTTTGTGTTTATGTACTTAAAAAATCCTTACACGTCCTCAAAAACAAAATCACAAAAAGATTCATTGCACTTGGTGGTGGCCCCCTAATTGCTTAGTTTGCTTGTGCCTCAGAAGAATTAATTGGCTTATTGCATGCTGACCACTTTGCATCCACTCATAAAAATATAGCATCCAAATTTTAGGATTTATGTATTTTATTTTGCATGACAAATTCCCATTTACTTATTTTTTTTAAGATAACTCAAAAACCTGTAGAATAAACCTTACATGATGCAGATTTATTAGCTTAATATAGCTTTTTCATTTCAAATACATAATTTTTCAGACTATGTATTTAGAATTATTGGAGTATACTTCCCCAAGTTAATACTAATGAATTTACTTATTTAAAATGAATTGTTTTGATTGCATTGCAAAATAATCAGGTTACCTTTATGCAATTCAAACAATACACTTAAATACACTAATTAGTATGGACTTTAAATAAATAAGCCTAATTATTATGTATTGCAAATAAATAATCTTTATTATATAACTGAGTATACATCACGTAAGCTTTATTCAATAGGTTTGTGTTAAAACTGTCTTTAAAAAAGCCAAAAAATGAATTTTTATGTGATAAAATTACATACCACATTATAAAATGTAGGTGAACACAGAAATTGATGTAAAAGGAGCCCCAACCAAAACACAGGAGCTTGGACATTTTTGCCTAAAATATGCATTTATTTTTTTATTATTATTTATCTTATTTTTATATTCTTTTATTCTGAGAAACCTTTTGTTGTTTTAATTACCTGCTTGAAATATTTTATTCGGTTATTTATAATATAGCCAAGATTTTCACTTCTGGAATCTTGTGGAATTGGTGATATATATTTTTTATTTATACACACACACATATATATATATATATATATATATATATATATATATATATATATATATATATATATACATATATATATTAGAGCTGAAACAATTAAGCGGATTAATTGGAATAATAATGATTAATCACGAATTGAATAATGGTCAACTAATTTAGTAATGGATTAGTCATTAAGTGGAGTAAAGAGACTGTAAAACATGGATTTAACTGACAGAGTGACCCACTGTGAGCTCTAATTATATCCAAATAGTAAAAAAGTATATAAACATTTTGCATTTAAGATACAATGTTATTGCCTGTCACTGGGCTCTATCCAGAACTCCTAAAGTGGAAAAGTTTGAAATTCATTTGGTTTAACTTTGTACGGTAATAAAACTTCTATCCGACTATTAATGATTAATTGAAAAAATTACAGATTAACCCTTTATAGGGAAAGTTACTGTTTTTGATCACCCTTACAAATGGAGTCCCCCTGTTCCTCACTGAGGAAGATACTGCTACATGGCTGTACATCTTATTTTGGCATTTGACCCATTAGATGAGCCCTTGAATAATAAATACCTACTGTAAATTAAGTAGAAAAAAAGTTAACAAGTCAAGAAAAAAAGGTGGAATAATAGAAGAAATCTACATTACGGGAAAAAAAAAAAGAAATAATTTGAGACTACATTAAACTGAAATGGAAGTAAAGTGGATGAAATAGACAATATTCAAGACTAAAGACAGCGAAAAAAATAAAGAACTAGATAAATCAAATATGACAAGGGTGAAATAGAGAAATGGCTCCCAAGCAAAGGTTGTGATCTTATATTAAATGTGAAGTTTTCATGTACATGGTGTATGTAAACAACTGTGAAAAATACTAATAAACAGTTGAATGTTAAAAATGTTTTTTTAATAAGCCTAGTTAATTATATTTAGGTTTATAAACAAAAAATGTAAGTGCCAGTTTCTGCATTAATGGTGATACTGGTACAATTTATGTCGTATAAAAAAAAATTTGTTTCTTTCACTCTGTTTTTCATGAATTTCTTATAGAAGCACTTTTGTTATTTTTCTTAATATATTCGGGCAAGTTGGCGTTTTTTGTCCATATTCATCCAGATATCCATATTTTTTGAAGGTCTTTTCCTGGATTCCAATATATTGGCTTGAAATTTTGATTTTCAAAGTATTTCACTGTGTGCCCTATAAAGGGTTAATCGATTTGCAAAGTAATCATTAGTTGCAGCCTTTAAAAAATATATATATATATAGATATATAGATATCTATATATCTATATATATATATATATATATATATATAGGCCTATATATATACATGGGTTGCTTAGTGAAGTGCTGCTCTATCAGGGTGATGCTGCAGTTAGTTCCTCAGATGAGGCAGGATGAGTCCCTACTGTCACTTTAAGAAGCAGCAATGCAGCAGACGCACTCTCCTCATTTCATCTCGGGCTTCATGGCTGCAGGATGGATCCTCATCAGCACCACCAGCACCTTTTCTTCCTGCTGCCGCCGGGAATCATGAAGTCAGAGCGGAACAGAGGCTCCCCTGCGGTGCACAACGTCCACCTGCCCAACCGCTACTGTCTAACGAGGACAGGTACAATCATCCATGTTTTTTTTTCTTTCTTTCTTTTTTTTTTTTTTTGCTCCACCTTTTCATTAACTGTATGTAGGACACTGCTGACTCTGGGATCGTTTTTAATTAAGTGGAAAGTCAATTCTGGTGTCTTCAATGTTTGTGTTTTTTGCAGTGACTTTTTAAATGTAATTCTTGCAAAATGATTTCCTTTATGTGAGGCTTGAATAAATACTGATCTTTTAATGGGCGCTCCATGCTGCCTGCATCCTTTTTTAAACTGAGCCGGTCTGGTTTGATCCTCCTCCACAGTAAACACTCTCTCCACACTTACGTAAGGTGATTGCGTATTTCTCACCAGCGCTTTGCCACTTGTTGCGCAGAGCTTCATCCTAGAAAGATGCTGGGTGAGAGTGAAGCTGCAGGCTCTCCTTGTAATCTGCAGCTTCTCCTCTACATCTCATAACCATCGCGTTCCTAAAGCTGCAGGAAGTTTTGAGAGCAGATTAGGACATTTTATCTATTCAGATAATGCTCATCTGTACATGATTAAAATGTCAGGCTTCCTATATAGTTCAATCTGTACATTTGTTTATAGATGGGGGACTTTCTGGATTATTTAAAGTTGTTATATACAGGGGATATACTGTTCTAACAGGAACATTAACCAGCAAAACATCCATATTTTCTAAATAAGGATAAACTATACTTTCCTACAGCTTTTGCTAACAAATAGACGCATATATTTAAACATCACTGATTTCTAGATAAAAGGTATACATGTAGTGGATAAACCTCAGTTTTGAGTTCCGGGGCGTAAATCAATCATCATTGTCATTATTTACCTACTTTTATCAATAAACATTCTGCATAAAATTTATATTTACAAGCACTAATATGTACATACATTGATTATTTAATACGTTTTTATTAAAATAGTTATCTATGATTTCACTGAAGACTCCTAGATGACTTGCAGAGACACATATGTTTCTCTTTAACCCATAAAACACAAAATCTTATTCTGAAAAGAGCATGAATTCTGTACTCATCATCTTTGATGTTAATATATTGATGTGTATAATTAACCACAAAAAAATTTAATGTTTTGAATATTCCACTTGAGAGTATTACTGGTGCCACCGTCTGTATTGGAGGGGGGAAAATGGTAGGGGTGGCCATGGCCACCCCTGGCCACCCATCTAGCTCCGCCCCTGGATGTATATTCATGTAACAATTATTTTAAAAGTGCATTTCTATTCAGACATATTTGGGGTTTTTTTCCCCCTCAATTAAACCCCATGAAAGCAATAACCTATTTTGACACCCTAAATTTATGGAAGCCTGTTTCTGCTACTCTCATGGAAAAATAACGAATCAAACGTATCTTTCTCATAGTGGCGGTCCTGGGAAATTTTAACTGGGGTGGCCAATGGTGGCTAAGGGATTTCCAGAGGTGGACAGGCAGGGCCCAGTATGCACTGAGGGGTCGCTGAAAACTGATATAGAGAGAGAGAAATATCAGGTGTGCTGCTGCCATCAACAATTTGTTTATAGATGTTGGAGATCGGCCTGTTTTTTCTGTGTAGTCCTGTTTCTCTGACTGTGGCTGGATGTGCTCTCTTCTTCCTCTGACATGGGAGCTGGCTCAGAGCTCGTCTGCCTGGCTGTGTTTCCTGGACAGGGCCGCCTTTTACAGTTGCTTTTTGTGTCTCTGCTTCTGTCTCCTTGAACCCCAGTCGGCCTCGGCAGATGGCCGCTCACACTGAGCCTGGTTCTGCTGGAAGTTTCTTCCTGTTAAAAGGGAGTTTTTTCTCTCCACTGTCGCTACAAGCATGCTTAGTGTGAGGGATTGCATTTGAGTCATTGAGTCGATGCAATCAACTGGTTGTTTTTAATTGAAAACTTTGAATCAATTTGGCTGTATGATCTAGTGAACTGTAAAATGCCTTGAGATGACGTGTGAAACTGAATGGAATTGAATAGGCACCAAAAACATCTTGGGGTCAATCTATACTGATCAAAACAAACCTGCAGGAAAATGAATATATACACAAAATCAATATTTTCCAAATAATTGAGACAGACCAGATTTTCATTTGAGTCCTAGCTGATAAAGCTAGGAGTATATTTATACCAGTATCTTTGTTTAACATAAAAAAAAAGGATAAATGTAAAAGTAAATAGAAAATAAGTCAAAAAGTAGTGCTGAAAAAATAAAAGTATATATATATTTTTTTGTTTTTATAGAGAATAAAAGTTATAGAAACTATCCTAACTGAAAAACGTAGCGCTGTGTAGAACTAAAGAGATGTTGCTCCACCCTTGGTGGTAACTTCTGCCATTTCGCGTTAGCAATAATTTGAAATAAGTGTTTATTTATATATTTAGTGATCCAGAGTTGGACCTCTTAAGGCCTGAACCACAAAGCAGGATTACTGGTTTAGTGAAACAACTTCAGCTTTAACCCTGACTTTCATTCTTAGCAAGGCCAGTCACCATGGTAACGTACGCTGAACATCAAACCTGGCTTTAAGGATCGATCTGAATCCTAGAAAAGGCTCCACCCAGCAGCCAATCAGCTGTTCAGGTAACAATGATGCCCAGTTTAATAAAAGACGTGATTTGATTCAGAGCAAAAAACAACGTCATAATAAAAGAACTTGAAACCCAAAAAGCTGTTAAAATATGTTCATGACAAATCAATAGTTTTTTGTTTATTCTTCCTTTGCCTCCTTTTTGACGTGGCAACCCTTTACTATTCTGTATTTGTTTTCTCCTGTATAATGTCTGTATTATATATATATATATATATATATATATATATATATATATATATATATATATATATATATATATATATATATATATATATACATATAAAACAACAATCAGAGCACAAATTGTGAGAAGATCCTTTGAATCATGGCTGGACTTCTAGGCTGCTGCCTGTTTTGCAGTAATCAGTAATGGACAATGGTTTATTTCTAATTAATTAATTAGCAATTTGGTTTGCTTACTCTGATTAAATTTGGCCTGCTTAGTTTGAATTATATTTATTTAATATAAGTTTATAATTTCAAAGCTATATTTCCTGTTTATCAGGTTATCTTTCTCATATTTTAAACTTAATAAATGAAATATTTAGATGTGACAATAAAGTAAAATCACAAGAAAACACGGCCAGTTTGTGGAAAAATTGTGAACCAGTTTGAGATATGGATACTTAAACATGTTGGAAAAATAAAAACAGTAAACTGTGTTTGTGCATGTCTAAATGAAGGCCTTTCAGATGTGGTGCAGGCTCAGCATTAAAGACGGGCTAATTTTAGGGTTGGTATCCACCCCTCTGGGCAACAACGCATACAGATCTATTCTCACACCTCGGTTGGATCTTATCGCCTGAAAAAGGAAATAACATTATATGAATAATCCAGAGCAGTGAAAGCGATCCGATTTTAAAGAGATAATAAAAGCTATTTCCTCGTAGGCCAGTAAAGGCTATCAGGAGGAAAGAAGGAAAGGATGAGCTAAACATCCATAGAGGGGAGAGATATAGCCACAGGTAAAAAACAAATCAAATGTAGTCAGATTGATTAAAAATGACAGAGGTTAATGTATTAGTGAGGATTAGAGGCCAACGAGCGTGGATCATTTATTTTAAATCCAAGATATCTTTTTCTAAATGCAGAGGTTAATATCTTATTGATAAAAAGCAGGTAAATGTCTGCGGTGCTGATCTTTCCTCAGTGTTTATTTTCAGCTCTGCTGCAGGAGCACAGCTCAGACAGAAGCAGCTGCAGCGGCTCTGAACCCACTGCTCCTCTTTGTGTCCTCACAGAAAGAAGGCTTTGTTTGATGCTGGGGTTAGACTGTTGTCACTGGGTTACAGTGAATATATGAACAGAGCAGATCATTTAGGAGAAAGACATTTTCTCTCTCTGTTTTGGGATTCATTTATCCGGATTTGAGCCTGTGAGCGATTATGTGATGTACTTATTTTGCTGTCTGCTGCAGTTATTACAGTCTGGCTGTGAGGGCCCCCAGCATCCCCCGTCAGACAGCAGAGAAGACCTAGGATTTGCCTGTCACAACAAATGTCTCTGACTCCAAGCCGGAAGTCATCCTCCAGTCAGCGCAGGTAATTTGCTCCCAGATTTTTCAAATAGAAAAGTCCTGCTCATGTGGATCTTTAAAGCCTTTAAATCTCATCTCCCTGCAAGGCGCTCGGTTGGAACCGGTGGTGGCAGCAGGGGATGCTCCCACAGCGACACATCCAGCACTTACACCTATCCCGGCCGGCTTAGGGCCTCCGATGGCAGCCCCACAGCCCGGACCAATCCCAGTACTCCCAGGTAGGGTCGCTCTGCTGCTGCGTATGTTGGCGATGAAAATAAAGTTTACCGATCAACACACACCCTGTATGTAAATGAGCTCCTTGCTTTGTGTTTGTGCTGAGTCAGGCGCCAGACAAAGCACACAGCCTGCTTCAACAATCATGGGATCAAACCTCCGACCCCGGAGCAGTACCTCACACCCCTGCAACAGAAGGAGGTGTGCATACGACATCTGCGAGCCAGGTTGAGAGAAAACGTCGAGAGATTACAGCACAGGTGGAACTTCCTTCTCCTTTAACCTTTCATCCATCCATCCATGTATGTCTGATCTTTGTGGAGGAGCACCAGAATAAGATTCTTTTTACCTTTCCAGGGACTATGAAATAGAAGAGTTGAGGACCCAACTGAACAAGATGCAGGAAGATTGGATAAAGGAGGAGTGCCACCGACTGGAGGCCCAGTTAGCTCTGAAGGAGGCTCGTAAGGAGATCCAGACCCTTCATGAGGTGGTGGAGTCGGTGAAGTCCAACATCGGCGTCCTTGAACAAGACCCTCATGATTATAAGCCATACTTGGGGTCGCAGGGAGGTCGACCTGGGGGGAAGTCTCGCTCCTGTGGGTGTTCCCCTGCCAGCACTTTAAGTCGCGGTACCACCTTCACCCGACGAAGCAGCGAAGCTCTGCAGATGGACCGCAGCTCCAACGCTCCAGAGCCAGGCGGATCGGCTCGCTCTGCAGGACAAACCCACCTGCTGCTGGAGGCGGCGCTCCTGTCGGAGCAGCTGCCCCAGCAGGCCCACCACCTCCGGGCCCCTCCGGTGGTTTCTCGCTCGTCCACCTTTGAACGGCTGTGCAGCGGAGGGGCTGTGCTGCCCATATCTCACTCCTGCCACACTCTCAACAGCGGCTGCAGGTGCAGCGGACACGCCTACCTCCCCCACCATCACCTGTTCCTTCACTTACCTCAAGAAGAGCCTCCAGTCTCAGCAGCACCGACCGCTGTCCCTGCAGCTCAAACCAACCCCATCCCTGTCCCTGCAGCAGAGAAGAAACCAGAGGTTCGATCTCAGGGCTGCAGCCCAACCATGACCTGGCTGAGTGAGGATAGAAGCAATGAACAGCTGAGCGTCATTTCCTTGGTAAAAGCAGAGATCACCCCATCAGATCCAAGGTCCTCAACATCTTTACCTCCTCTGTCTCCTCCTGATCTCTCTCCCAGCCCCGCTGACAAATCTTGGAATGTCACAAAGGTGCCAGCAAGCACCCATATCTTTCAGCCTAAGCCTGTAGATCCCCTTCCTGTTAGGCAAGACGCTACCGTGGTGGAGATAGAGGAGGAAACCAGGGAGGGAGGCGAGGGAGGGAATGAGGAGAGGGGTTCCCCTGAGCTGTCTCACTGGAGCCGTTACTTTCTCGTTGATCTCCTGGCTCTCGCCATGCCGGTAGTTCCAACCATGGCGTGGCTGTGCAGGGGGGGACCACAGGAAGTCATGCCTGTGTATCAACTCGGGTCTCTACTGAGAGGCTGCTGCGCTGTGGCTCTACACTCACTGCGACGCCAAGGCGGGGGCAGAGGAGGCAGACTGGCCAGCATGAATGGGACAACTTCCATCTGATGCTTTAAGGCCGCTTTTAGATTCATCCCACTGCTCTAACCCTCTGCAGATACAAGCCTGACTCTAAAGCTGCATCTATCACCGAGTCGTACGGTATTGGTCGCCACGATCCGAGAGTGTTTGAATGATCTGGTTCAGTTAAGCCAGAGATTGAATTTAAAGCTACAGTGTGTAATTTTCAGCGACATCTAACGTCCAGACTGCAGACTGCAGCAACATGAACGTCTCCCCTCCACCGCTTCTCCCCCCCAACAGTACGGCGAGCGTTACGGGACAAAATGTCTTCCACGACGTCCGCATCACCTACCTTCTCAAGTGATGAGGTTTGTTTACATAGATAATTTTACAGATAGTATTTCATTAGTCTGTGTAGGGTATAGATTTCATGTAGACTTAAGATAATAAATATACCCGTTATTTTTTCTACGTCGTTGTGACGTTTTGGTGAGCTGCTTTGCATGGTGATATAAACAGACGAAGTAATTGTAGTCATTAGTTTAACAGCGAGATTGTGTTCGCTGGAAGAATATATATTCCCCGTTTACAGAGTCCAAGTCTTGTTTGTGGCACGGGGGTTACAAGGCGAGGAAGAGGGAGAGGAAGAGGGCGAGGAAGAGGGCGAGGGCATGCAGCTAGGGCCAGGCGAGAGAGGGGTGCCAGCAGAGCAGAGGAGGAAAGGCTTGAAGATCTCCAAAGGAGCCGGAGAGAAGTAACCGAGGTATATATCCAGAAAATTATTTTACAGAAAATTACTGAATCATTACCTGTGAAACGTCAGGGACGTTGCTGAATAAGTATACTGGAGAGTAACAGCATCATCACGCAGCATGTTATTGTTTTAGACAGGTCTGAGCATCCTGTACTCCAAAAACTGCAGTGATATTAGACAATTGTGTGTAGGATTAATTACCTGTCCAAGAGAAAACTGGCAACTTGAGCGCAAGTCACTTTGAAAACCTTTTTCCTCCATCAGTGACTTCCATCGTGTAAATGCCGTGCCAATGTTGATCCGTGTTTTTTGTCGTTTCTTGTCACGCTTGCGTTTATTCTCGTCGTGTTTCCGCTTCTTAGATGACGGGGGTTCGGTGTCCGCCGCTTTTCTATGTGATACAGAGTAGGCATGATCCTCCATTCGTCTGATGTTTGGCCACACAGTGCCAAACAGTTTGCAAAGTCACTCACGCCTGCCGCCTTGTTCACCTTTCTTGTTACTGAAGCGCCGTATACCTGCTTCTTCTTCTTTGGTTTCAGGCAGACTAAACGCTTCTCAGGCATAATACTGCCATCTACTGTTCAGTACCGTCTCAGTTAATCTCTCTCAACTTGCCGTAGTTATTTTCGAGCGTAATGGGAGATCTCGCAATCGCTAGTTTGTTGCCTCTGCGCTTGCCGTAGCGCAAAGATGTCAGCCTCCATGGCTGCGAGACCCGCTCCTATGTAATTATAAATAACGAATTCTAAGGCAACGCAAATATTATGGTTAAAAGGCTAAACTCATAGGTGATGATAAATAACATAGTTATGTATAATATATTAAATTTCTGACTTTATATCCCTGTAATTATTACACACTGTAGCTTTAAAGTATCTCCACTACTGGATATGCAAGAATTAAACAAAACCCCTGGTTTAATGTCAAATCAGCACTAAAACAATGTGATGGTTCAAACAACAACAAAGGTCATCCAGCTCATCTTTGCTGACTGTTTGCAGTCATCTTTTTTTGTGTCTAACTGCAGCTAAACGGCTGTTTGTTCCTGCCTGCCTTTGTCTCTGCTGGTGAAATTTTCCTGCCCACCACTCATTGGATTTTTAGGTGTAACAGCAATAGCTTTGCACTAACGAATGATTATTTTATGAGACTAAGAGGTAAGAGCATAAACGATGCGGTCTGGTTCAGTTCTATGGGGCAGTTTGATAATGGAAACACTCAAAATAATGGACCGTTCCAGACCAAACCACACCACTCAGTGGTAACCAGCTGTAAGACCCCGGCCACATCCTGGGTTCCTCCTCACTTAGAACCTTCAGTAATAAAAAAATGCATTTGTCATTCTGTCAGTTAGTGATTCAGAAAAACTGAAATTAGCTGGAATCATTTAATTTCTCATATATTCCTTCTGATTTTACTCTAGCTTTCAAATATACCTCTGAAAATGAGAATATCAAAAAGTTGATTTAGTAATTCAGTGCAAAAAGGGAAAAAGCACCTTGCATGAGGAATTGTAACAGAAGAAATTAAATTTTTAAGTGTTTTGTTTCCAGATAATTTTGATAATTTTGGCTTCCAGCGAATGAAAACCCAGATTTCAGTTTGTCAAAATTTTACACAACAGAAAAAAAGAACTTTATTGCAGAAAAAGTTTTTCATTCCCTTTATGATCACTGGGAAAACAGCTGTGAAGAAGATAATCATTCACCAAAGGTGGGCAGAATACTCGGAAAAGTAAAAGTTATGCTACTTTTTAATATTTTTATATAGTTATATTTATATGTGTGGATAGAAGCAATCCTAGAAATCATTTAAGAGAAAGTTATAGAAGCAATTAATTAAAAAGTGAACTTAATTACTGAAAAACTAAAAATAGCTGATTTACTAAGTAAAATGATGTAACAAGTCATGCACCAATTTATGATATCTTAAAGGGTAAAACAACATTATCAAAATAAATGAACAGAAAAATAAATCCAAGCAGAATCAATTTTCTTTTTAACATAAAATATAATCAGGCATGGGAAGTAACGAAGTACAAATACTTCGTTACTGTACTCAAGTAGATTTTTCTGATATTTTTACTTTACTTTACTACTTATCTTTATGGCGACTTTTTACTTCTACTCCTTACATTTTTACACAAATATCTGTACTTTCTACTCCTTACATTTAAAAAAATTGGCTCGTTACTTTAGTTTTGAATCATTTCAATGGAGTTACCGTTATTATTTTTCACATCATCAATACCAAATTCAATCTAATTGGATGGGAATCTACGTTGCATTTGACGCACCACTACAAGATGAATCGACAGATTCGGCGGTATTCATTCGCGGCAAATCATTGCAGCTTGGTGGCGGTGGCGTTAGCATAGTAGTATGGACGACGAGATGATTGAAAATGAACACAACGGAGATCTAGTCCTATTGGCAGACATCCATTTAAAATGTAGGCAACGGCATGAAAAAAGTGGTTTCTACTTTTACTTTTATACTTTAAGTAAATTTACAAGCCTGTACTTTGTTACTTTTACTTGAGTAAAGAAGTTTAATCAGTACTTCCACTTTTACCAGAGTATTTTTAACACAAGTACCTGTACTTTTACTCCAGTACGGAAAGTGAGTACTTTTGCCATCTCTGAATATAATATAAACTAATCCTCACAGTAGGCAATGCATACATGTTAGAAGAGCATAAAGAGCCTCCAGTGGTGATCTTTACTGCCTACTGTATGTTTAACATCATCTCCAAATGTCAAGGTAGGTTCAGCAGATTGCTGACCAGTATGCTGCTCTGCAAAAAAAGGAACTTATTTTGACATAAATGTTAACGCTCTTTTCTGGAGCACTTTTGTTTACAAGCTTGTTAATACTGTGAAGTTACTGGATAACAACAGAGGAGCCAAACATTTAAAGCTGTAATATTTCATAAAAATGATAATAAAGTTCAAAGCAGGGCTGCTCAGTGACGCAGTGGGTAGCACTGCTGCCTTGCAGCAAAAAGGTTCCGAGTTTGATTCCCGGCCCGGGTTCTTTCTGCATGGAGTTTGCATGTACTCCCTGTGCATGTGTGGGTTCTCTCCGGGTACTCCTGCTTCAATTATTAAATGTAATTGATTTCAATCCAGCTGTCTTTAACACATTTTTTTCCTGCCAAATAGGACTGAGTGCAGGTATTTTTTTTTTTTTTTCATGATGATCTTCAGGATAGCCGTGTTAAATCAGTTTTCCCAGTGATCATGTAGGTCATAATATGGGTATCACATGGCATTTATAGATAAAAAATCTTAAACCTATAATAGTGTTAGATAATATTCTTCATTTCCAGAAAAACTAATGTTGGGTTTTCTTTACCTTTAAGCCGCTGCATTTAAAATAAAACCAAAAAAGAAACCAATCTTGAACGGTTTTGTTTCTTTTTTTTTAAATAAATTATAAGCAATATGTTTTAGTTGAAATGTTTGACGGAAAATATTAAACATTTTTTAAAGACTTCCGATTTTTTAGACTTAATTGTTTGGTTTTAAAACATGCATGTCCGATGCTTAAGTCAACCTGGAGAGACGAAGTATTTAATTTATTTGTACAGGTAAAATAATCATATTCTTTAAAATGTTCTTAAGGAAAATCAGCTGATTGCATCGACTCATTGACTCTGCAAATCCTCATAGCAAGCATGCTTGTAGAGATAGTGGAAAGGAAAAACTCCCTTTTAACAGGAAGAAACCTCCAGCAGAACCAGGGTCAGTGTGAGCGGCCATCTGTCGAGGCCGACTGGGGTTAAAGAAGATAAAGTCATATGTCAAATATTTTATTTGCCGCTTGTGCCCCTGCAGAACACTTTGATACTTTGAATCAACACTCGCTTGGATGAGCAACCTAGAAAAGGAGAAGTCTTCCCCCAGGGCACCGATACGGTGGTGGAATAAGCCACGGGGTGAGTGGGACTGAGAATGAGGGAGGAGAAGGGGTGGAGGTGTGTAAAAGTTTGCTTGTATTCGCGAGAGAGAAGCTAGGCCAGGAGCTAAATGAAGGGGATTTTGAAAGATGATTGGCTTCAGAGGTGCGCCCCCCCGCCCCCAAACCTTAAGGTTTAAACACTGTTGCAGTTTTTAACTAGCCTCGTGAGACCATCCAAGGTTTCACTCGCAGACTCTCCGTTGAAGAAAATTTGGAGCCGTTCACCAAACGAACGTCCAATCAGCGTTGGCTTTGAGGCGGGTTGAGGTGTGACGCAACGAGAAGCGCGACAGTTCAGTCTAAAGAACATGGCGGCTTCAGCCGATGAAACTAGCGTTAGCGTGGCTATCGAGCAAGTTTTACCGGAATTACAGAGTATTTCTTCACTGAAAGAAGAGCAAAACACTGCTCTGGAGGCTTTTCTCAGAGGAAAAGATGTTTTTGCTCTTCTCCCGACTGGTTTCAGCAAGAGTTTGATCTTGTGGTTGTGTTTTCGTTGTCGCTCTGTTAGTACGTCATATGCTTCGTTGATCTGATTGGTTTATTTGGCCCGTCTATCACCAACATAGGCCAAACAGCTAACCAGTATTTTCGCCCCTTCCCAAAATTACTTCAACTGAAGGTTTCCAAATGGATATGCGGAGCAAATCCATCTGGCGGAGTCAGGTTAGTTTTTAACTCCAACCATGTTTCAAACTAAGGAAGTCCTGCAGCTTTAAATTTATTTCTTATTCCACAAACAACAATAAAGGTTTATGAATCTCAAACTTTGAAAGAACCTTTGTTTTCTTTAGAGTGGAATAATCATACTGTTTCTCTGTCAGATTTGAGATTTAAAAAGAAACCAGAGTCTGGAAATCTTTGACTAGTAAAACAGACCTTTTAGCTTGGGAAACTAATAGAAGTTATTCGTCTGGATCTGAGTCCAGACTTAGATCTTAATAGAACTCGCCAAGAAAAAAACTCAAGACCAGAGCCAACCTGGAAAATAAGTAAAAATTACATGTATTTACCTTTAATTTTAAGAAGATAAATGAGATAATTTGCCAATGAAGTGAAAAGTATTTTCTGATAAAATGCACTTGAAAACAATGCAATTGCGTTTTATTTTAAATGTAAATTCTCTTGTTCCATTGGCAAAATGTCTCTGTTACCTTCTCAGTTCAAGAACAAATGCACTTATTTTAAGAAAAAATTACTGATCTAGATTGATTTTTTCCAGTGCAGGAACAGTTAAGAGAACAAATGAGAAAAGGACACCAGAGATGTCTCCTCCCTCAGCAGCATGGGGGCCTTTAGACAGGGGGCAGTGCACCTGCAGAACTGAAGAGATAACACTAAATCAATCTGTTATGACACTGTTATGACACAAACAGGAAATTTCATTTTCAACCATTAGTTTTACTTTACCAATTATTTATTACTCACAATGTTGCGCTCTTAACCTTTGCCATGTTTAGATAGGGTCTGTTTTTAGTTGCAGTCTGTAGTTCCAAACCAATAAAATATTGTTTTTTTCTGTGCCCCTATGAAGAAGCAAAAGCCCCACCCACCCCTCAGAGAAAATCAGTTTAGAGCCGCCGATGTTAAGGGGATTGCAGTGATCTTGAACCCTGTTCCAAATAACAGCCCATATTTAGGCATTTCCCCTCTGATCCCAGATGGGTCCAAATACACTTTGGAAATACATTTTGGGTCGTTAAGGGGATTCAGGGTCAACTAAACAACAATAATAGGCACTGAATGTGTTTAAGATATATTCTAAATATTTTTAGCCTTCTGCTATTGTGTTACTGAGGGGAAAAAACTATGTAAAAGAAAGTTTGCAGGTCTTTACAATGTCAAGATGAAACTGAAGGGTTTTGTTTCAGTCTATTAATGATAAACAAACTGGTTCCATTTGTAAGCAGACAAACGTGCTGGACTGTAAGATTTAAATTTACAGATAAGTCATAATTATTAATCGGAAGACTTCAAACAGAGCAGCCTTCCTCCTAAGAAAAGCTCAAAACCTTTAAAAAACGGCAGATTACCAAAGCCTCTTATAAAAGGGGCCAAAAGATTGAATACTATTGCTTTTTTTTTGTAATAATAACTAGGGATGCACGATATTGGGATTTTGGCCAATTTGCCGATATTTTAAAACTCATGTAGCCGATAACCGATATTGATACTGATGTCAAAGCTGGACAAAAATAAGTAGTCATTGAAAATAGTTTTGTTATCCATTTCTGACACTTTGAAAAATAATATACTCAAATATATTTTCATATGCTGATATCAAATTGATTTTTAAAAACGCGGTATCGATCTATTTTACTTTCAGAATCTCGTGAAATTTCATCGTTCTGTTACAAACTCTCGTGATATTTTCCAAATTCTTGTGAGATTTTGTTAGTAAAATAGATCGATACCGCGTCAATATATCAACATATAAAAATATTTAAAAAAAAAAAAAAAAAAAAAAAAAAAACATAAAAATATGGCAAAATTTCGTGAATTTTCGGGGGATTTCGTAGCATAACGATGACATATAGCAATATTTCATTAGTAAAAGAGATTGATATGGTGTTTTTAAATGGCAATATATCAGCATATGAAGATATTGGGATATTTTAATGTATCAATATTTTTCCCTCGTCTTTAGAAGTTTTTAAGTCTGTAAAAAAGAAGTTTTTAAGGAAGAAGTAGTAGTATTTTTTTTTTTTTTTTTTAGACTTTAGAAACTTAGAAGCTGATCAAATATCGGGTTAAATATCGGTGGGGTGGCCGATGTCCGATATTCAGTTTTAAGGCCGATACCGATAGGGGGCCGATTATATTGTGCATCCCTAATAATAAGAAAAGAAACAAATGTTTTAGGTTTTTGACAGGAAATATATGTTTGTAAATCACAAAATAAAAATGCAAAAGTGAATTTAGTTAAAAAGATTTTGTTTCTAAAGGAAATTCAAATAAATGCTAAGTTACCTGAGCTGCTTCATACTAAAGGATTTACTAATGATCAATGATTAACTCTACAAATGTTTCAGCGTTCAGAGATGTTCAATTAACAGAACAGTTTTACCAGTCTGAGAGCATTTTATTGCAAAACATGTTTTGATATATGGTTCAATTATTACTGCCATCCTCTAACGTTTGTATCCAAAACAAAGGAAAACTCAAAGCTGAGCTTCAACACTGTTGTCCATAAAGCTGGGATAAAATATATTTTACCTGTTCTCATGTACTAGTAATGAAAATATGGCTTATTTTTCATTATATTTAAAAAGTAAGCATTTTTTAGCTGTTATTTATCAAAGCCTAAGAAACAAACAACAGCATTAAAATGTAGGAATAAATTGTCTAAAAAGGAAAATGTTTTCCTATCTTTATGAGCAGGAGCGTATATATCATAGTTTCTGTCAGGTGTAAACGGCACATTAACCACCAGGTTTCCTTTTGGTAAATAAGAAGCTTGTTTCCTTTATTTCGTGTTTGTTTTTACTGTGCTTTAACACCATTAAATAACATTTCATGAATGAGAAAAAGCAAAGCAGTGTGATAAAACTGTGCACGAGAAAGCGGTCCTTTCGGGAAAATGATCCTCGCAGGAAGCAAAACAAGCAGGTCTAACCTTCTTTTTGTTGTTGTAAACATGACACAAATTAAGTCACTTTAAAAATAAAGAACCAATGTTGCAGAGCGAAGAAAATCTCACATCTAAGACCTGTAGGTTAGTGATGAGAACAATCTGCCTTTTTTTTTTCTTCAACCAGTTGAAACTTTTTCCCTTGCCTCTGATTTTTCGTTTTCATATAGCAAATATTACAAATGAATCTTTAATCCTTATCTTATTAGCATCAGTTCATTACCAGCTGTCCATACAGAGTAAGAACCACAGGAATGATGACAATTATCTAAAACATGGTCCTGATGGCAAATAGAGCCGATAACGTCAAATTTAATCCAAAAATTAAACAAAACATCTAAATATATACCAGTAACAGAGTGAGAGGCGTTGGATGGGCTGACCTATAACTTAAAGACTAACATAAACAGTAATAATGAGTCAAGTTTAAAGCAAGTGAGATTATTCAGCATGAGTCTGAACAGGCAGGAGAATGAAAAGGTGAGGTCCTATGCAGGAATCATCTTCCTCCATGTTCCCAGGACAGGAGTCAACCTGCAACAACAAAAAAAGATGATTCAGAAGGAGAAACCAACAATATGCAGAAACACAAACACTTCAAAGGAATAAAAACATATAATTGATGTAAAAATAAGAGTAATAGGTTTAACTTCTAGTCAGAGAAGCTTTAAAGGAATGATCGTAAGAATCTGCAGGTTGATTCTTGTTTGGAATAACAGACTGAATAGAAATAAATCCTCCTTTCATTACATTGGGAAGAGCTATTATTTAAAAGTTAAATTAGATTAGTTTAAATGTTAAAGGAGGATGTTTGAAGCAGAAACTTTGAGAAAACTGGGTTACCCTTGTGTGCTGAATATTTTATAATCATTGTCTAATAAAATGAAAACAAACGAAACACTGTCATTCAATCTGTCCTTCATTGTGATACGAAGCACACAGCCCTTAAACTACTTATTATTCCAATTTAAATTACTCTAAAAATTAAAAAAAAAGACCAAAAGAAAAGATTTTTTGCACAAAGCTTGTGTCAGAGAAAATCTAAATCATGAAAGCAAAAAGTTCCCCTTAGCACTGCAGTTGTTTTAAAACAAAGTCCAAATGTCTCCCAGAATACTTTTTAAAGTCTTTTCCCCCCTTAAAAAAACAACACGTTACTTCCTTGTTTGAATGACATGTTTTCTTGTCTTTCCCACATTAAAGTGTGGCTAAAACAACTACGTCAAAGAAACACTGAGTTATGAGGTACGTCTCCATCATAGAAACACCTTCTAGAACCAGGATAGCTTTTGGCTACCATCTACATTTCCACACGGTTTGCAGTGTCAGTTTCTAAGGTTTAACTGTTTTGTGCTCCTATTACACCCTGATTCCTTCATTTTAACAGCCTAATTCTAACCAATTAAACTGTAAACTTCACTTATTCTCTTACCTTTCCCCTGTTGTTCTTTAAAGCAGCCAAAAAGTGTTAGGTCATCTTCTATAACCAACCATGTATAAATCGCAGACTAAATTATTGCAATTAAAACAAGAACAGGGTTCCTACAGCCAGAGGCGCACCTTGTCAACAGGCAAACCAAGCAACTGCTTGGAGCCCCGAGCCGCTGGGGGGCCCCAAGAATCAGCTACTGTACACACGGTAGATAAACAGCAACAGGCGAGCATGAAGTGGCAATGCTATAGTAACTGAGGAGATGCACAACTGCATATAAAAATTCAGATTGGATGGAATGTTGATTGACATTGGCTTTGCCCAATCAAAATCCAGCCCAGCCCAGGTGGATGACTTCCCTTAATGAAAATGAACGTAGCCTAGCGAATGGGTGACGTTGTAGGCCTATCGTTCAGTAAATTGGAAAGCAATTATGTAACTAAGCTGAAGGAAAATGATTCATTTTCCATGTCTCAAGAGAGACTTTCAGGACTGGCGCTTATTTCCATAGAGTATAGTGTGCGAAGGTCTTTGGATCTGGAGGACTTATGTCTGCATTTGCACAAGCCAAGGCCCGTAAGCAACAATTCTGGAAGCAGTATAGGACCCCAATCATTTCACTACACTTACTATAACTACTTTATATTTTGTACAAAGTTTATATTGGGTTTTTAAAATAATTTACAGTTTGTTTTTTTATGTTATTATACATTTATTTTAATTTATTAGTTTATTCTTTACTTTTATTCTTTTATATTTTCCAAAATAACAAGGTTGTTCATGTTTAGAACATTTGGAATAAAAAAAAAAGGTTTTATTTAATACATTTTTCATTGGTGTCAGATTATTTATAGCCTAACATAATGGTGATGAACACTGGTCAGTAGGGCCCCCTAGGATTTTTTGCTTGGGGCCCCCAAAGACTCTAGAATCGCCTCTGCCTACAGCATAAGGAAATTTAAATTCAGGACTTTTTAATGCCACTTGAAATAAATATTTAAGACCAAATTCTCAAGAAACGCAAGAAAAACCTGCTTGTGACAAATTAACACTGAGCCTCATGTATGTTCCCTGGTTTTAGCCATGGAGAAAACTCTTGGCTGGAGACAATTTTGGTTACATTTACTCTTGCACATATTTCCCAGACAAAAAGTAAATGGCACATCTCCCAAATGTCCCGGCCGCAACAACGCTTTTATTGGTTCCGCTATCGGGACGGAACCAATAATGGCGAGCCGTTATTTAAAAAAAAAATAAAAATTCCAATTTTAATGTTTTATTTAGATTACAAACATAAATCGTAATAAAAATAATCCTATTTATGATGTTTTAAAAATTAAGACCTACGAAAGACTGATTTAAGACATTTTAATACCAATTAAGGCCTTAGTTTTATTTTAAAGAGTTCAATGCCTTTTAAGACTTTTTAAGGACCCACGGGAACCCTGAAGAATGAGAATTTGCTTTGTCTATTTTTGTAAATATTGCCAGTTCAGGCTAGACAGTAGTTGCAAAATATGTCAAATCGTAATCATAATCTCAGAGCAATATTCTTCTGAGTGCCTTGCATGCAGACTCTGCAGGATATGTGAATAGAAGGTGAATTCTAGGTGGCAGAGATGCTAAAGCTCACAACCAGTGGTAGGATCGTTGTTAAAAAATGGAAGCCTGACAATGTATGCTAATAGTTAATCATATGTAATATCATTATCATAAAATTAAGCAGATATTACAGTTAAATGTTGTCCTGTTATTGTGCTGGTAAGATATCAATTAAGTGTGAAATACTTTACAGAGTTTATTAGCTCTAAGGAGTTTTATTAACTCTTAATTATGTCATGAAAATCCTATAAATGAGATATTATAACAGGAAGTTTTGGAAAAGTCACAAAGAATGAAGTAGAAGGGGTTAAAGCATAAACAGCATGGAGTTCAGGCTAAACAATTATCGTTTTTGAAGTACTATTTTCCTTTTTTCTTTCAGATTAGCTAGATTTAATAATAAAAAAAACAAGCAAATAAAACAGGGATGTATCTGCAATGGTGCATCTCTCAAAAACATCTAAATTTAGGATATCATTAAAAGCTAAAGAGATTCTTCCTAAAAGATCCTGCTTTGAAACCAACATATTTCCAACTTACCCTAAAAATTTGAGTGGAAATAAAGCGAGTGGAGAGCGCGAGTTTCAAGCCTCCAGACCAAGCAGCTCCACGTCGAAGGTGAGAGTGGCGTTTGGTGGGATGATCCCTGGGTGACCTTTGCTGCCATAGGCAAAGTCTGAGGAGCAGATAAGCTTCGCCCGCTGGCCTACGCTCATCTGTGGAAGACATGGAGCCATATCTGAAATCTGCTTTCATACCAACTCAAACACATTAATGTGATATACTTATCAGAAGTGGGAAGGAGATTTATTGATTACTAATTATCTAAATTATCAATCTGATCGATTAATTTAGACTAGCAATTAAATAAGCAGCCAGAATCAGAAGCATTCTGACATTTACAATATTCTCAGTTTTAATAAAGTACATCACAACTAGAGCTGCAACTAACGATTATTCTGCAAATAGATTCATCTTTAGAGTATTAATAATAATCGATTAATAATCAGATAGCCAATGTTCTTTAAAGACTTTTCATGAAATTAAACCAGGTGAAACTAAAACTTTTCCACTGGAGGAGTTCCGGATAGATCATATTGACGGATGAACATTTATTTTTATTTTTTTATCTTAAATGCAAAATGTTTACATATTTTTTCATTTATTTATATATAATCACTGCTCTAAGTGGGTTCCTCTGTCAGCTAAAGACATATTTTACAGACTATACTCCACTTGATGATGAATCGATTACTAAATTAGTTGACAATTATTTCAATAATTGATAAATCAGATCAATCTGATTAATTTCAGCCCTAATCACAACATTTAACAATTTATTCTGCTATCTGTATTAAATACAGAAAACAAACAAAATGCAAATAAAATTTTCTCTTACACATTATTCAACTAGATAACTAAACAGGAACCGATTAGTTTTTTTGTTTTGTTTCAGCTTTTGTTGTCATACTGTCACAAGTACAGAGAAACTAATTGAACTCTCTGCATTTAACCCATCCCCTTGGGGAGCAGTGGGCTGCCATCAAGCGCCGCCCGGGGGGCAATATGGGATTAAGGGTCTTGCTCAGGGACCCAGAGTGGCAGTCTGTGGGAGTGGGGCTTGAACTCAGAACCTTTGGATTCCAAGCACAATGCACTAACCACTAGGCCGCCACTCCCTGAAGGTCACTGAATCAGACAAAAATAATTATCCAATGTGAAAAATGTAAAACTATCATTAACAGACAGGATGTCACTCTGACAAAATGTCTGATTATCTGTCACTCTGTTTCAATGAAGTGGATGACAACAGATAAAGTTTTTAGATTTCAGTGTGAAAGACTTTAGCAGTGCTTTTAAACTGGTGCTTCTGGTTGCTCTGAAAGGAATAAGATTGGGCTCTATGAACAAAATCAGTAAATAAAAGTCTGATGTGATTATTGCCAGAATTACTCTATCATGTTAAAAACCTGTTGCATCATCAAAAGGTGTAAATAACTCCAGACCAGACTCTCCATTGATTCCTATTTCTGCTCTAGCATGCCTCCTCTCTGGTGGTCCTTCTCTTTAAAATACCAGTGAGGCTCAACTTAAGAATGAACAGCAGCACCCTCTATTGGACAGCAGAGACACTACAACACTAAAATTCTGAGTTGACTTTATGAATTAATTGGACAGAATGCATTCTAACTAATAAAACATTAATCATCAATTTATTGTAAGTAGATTGTTTCTTTAAATTCCTAATCAGAACAGAATGTCAAATTAAAAGGCACAATTTACAACATCAGATCCCCTGATAGCTGGGACACAGGATGAAATGTAAATAAGCTACTCAATATAACAGAAGTTTTAAAAAAAAAAATCCACAGAGAGATTATTTCAAAGTCTCCCAAATCTGGAAAAAACTGGAACTTTTAATATTTGACTCTCAGAGAGGGTTTGGATTAGACAAACCAATTTTCTACACAATAATCTAGCATCTGTGAGTAAATAGTCGATTACATTTAAAGCAGTTTAAAGAAAATACACTTTGATCAATTTGCATCTGAATTCAGAACTGGATGTAACCAATCCTGGAACTTGAAAACATTAAAAAATACTTTCATCCCCTTAAAAATATATATATTTTTCCAATAAATCCAGGAGCAGCCCTGCCGAGTCTCAGATCTACCAAGTAACCGATCATTTTATCACAAATAACTACCTAATATTTACAACCCCACCCGCCCACCACCACAGCTTTTCATAGACTGCCATAGTTTACCTTCATTTCAAATGCTTCCTTCATGCCTATCCTGCTCTGTTTTCTGCACCTGAGCGCTGCCTATCTGGCTCTTCATCAGTCATCAGATGATATCACTATTCCAACGAAGACACCCACGCCGCTCAGGCCGCTACCTGCCCCTGCATTCTCAAAGAGGTGCAGACTGAAGTGTGTGCACACAGGGGGGGCTGTATGTGGGGTATAGCCACTTTCATTGTGTGGTAGAACCATGCTTCTGGATTCTACAATAGTTGAATCATCAAAGTTGGACAACCTGCAATAAATGTTTCTCTGCCTCCTGGGGCTGGATGATCAATTAATTAATGGAATTTTCTGTATATAAAGGTTTAATTTTTTGCAAATCTGATTTTATTCCACCGATGCACAAGGATTCCATAGCTCAGAGTGACAGCAGTTCATCACTTTTTGTTGTTAGTGTAACAGATTAGCTAGCCGACCAATAGCTGCAAACATTTAGTTGTCTATATTTTCATAGTTTAGCATTTTTACAGCTGGAATTCTGATGTCCAGAAGGGAATAAGAAAAAGCAGGTTTTTTTTTATTTTTTTATAATATGTGTCATTTGTTATTGTTATCATGAAACATCAGAGAGAAAAAGATTGATTAATCGATTTGGTAGATAAACATTAAATAGGAGATAAGCCACAGTTCCCAGCCCTACTGTCTCCCCAAACAGACTGTTGAAGAAGAGTAAAAAATGTCTCCAGTGAGGGGTACTCCCTTCACATCACCCTCTCTGGAACACTAACAACTTTATACCAGGTTTCTCTTTGCTGACATTAGTTCTGCCTTCTTGCCTGGACAGACTCATGGCGAAGTTACAAAAAAAAAAGACTTCTAGCCACCACCTGCTGCTGAAGTTACTGAGTGTCCACATGGATGCAGACCTCAGCAGCAACTGTTGGCCACCTTCTACTGCTGCTCCATTCAGTGTTGAGCATTCTATGGCAGCACACACCCTGTTTCAGCAGCTGCCCCTCTGGGAGGCATTTACTTAAAGCTTTGCTCAAAGCACAGACGAACAGAACGAGGGACAGATTTTATGACAGCCTCAGTATACTGCAGACATTTGACCCCATCATGTGTCATTTTAGCCACGGGCCAGGTGCAATGAGCAGATGTATCGTGTTAATGATGTCATACCTTCCTGCTGAAGCCCTGTCTGACATTTTAATGTGTATATGGTGTTTATATTTTGATTAGTTTATGAATCATCTAGTTTTTATGGCACACTTGCTTAGAGGCAAGAATCTGAGATAATCAGGTTTTGTTTATGTACGGTTAGATTCTAATTTAATGTAGTTTTATCAATCTACTACTATTTCTTCCTTTTATACCTATTAGAAACCTATTTTATAAACCATGTTTTTGTCTATTTCAGTGACAGACTGCTGCACCCTAAGCGCAGCAGGGAGCGTTATCACAGATACTTCCTCCCAGCAGCTGGAAAACTTTATAACCACCACAGTTCCCATCAACCTCAATAAGTTGTTAAATTAATGCTGATTTTGCACAGTTTCTTTCTTAGTTAAATAACATGCTGCTGTCATTTTGCACATCTCTGATGTTGCTGCTATTTTCAAATATCCATTACTGTAAAAATGTCCATAGCTGTATATTGGTCATTGTAATCTCCAGGTGCAGTTTCATTTTGTTAAACACTTCGCAGTACAGTATCTTGTTGTTTATCTAAAAAAAAACAGCTTCTGGTTGCCTTCAAAGGTATGCAGTTGTGACTGCTTTGTCATGTTTACATTTTGACATGCTGCTATATCTGTGTTAATTGTGCTTTGGTGCTCACTGTGTCCATTGAATGAACTTGGTAGACTCAATTTCCTTTTGTATACATTCGTGTATACAAAAGGAAATTGAGTTTAAAACAGCTCTAGACAATTGCATTTTTTTAAAGTGCAGCCTTAAAACCACTAATAAATACATAAATAGTAATATAAACATGACTGTATATTTACAGTTCTAACATTAATTGGTGGTTAAATTGTGGAGAATCTAATCTTTCCAATGATGTCTAACATGTGGCATGTCTAATTTTATGCTTAAATATTCACTAGTATGCTATTCTTATACATTTTTCTAAGGTCCAACAACATGTAAGCCACATGTTGTTGAAAGAAAAGCAAAACAACCGAGTAAAAGTCAAGCAGTGGTAGCTTTCTGATTATTTTCTCTTTCATTAGCTGCTGTGGAGCTCAGCTCACCTGAGCTACTCCCTCCTCCCAGCCTCGGATCACCTCCTGATTGCCAATCTTGAACTTAAAAGGTTTCCCCCTGGACCTCGATGAGTCGAAAACTTTCCCATCTTCCAGAGTACCTGAATGAAAACACAATTGGCAGCTGGTGAAGTTTGTGTTCACCCATAGACAGCCTTCAAAAAGTCCCCGAAAGCTAGCGTTAGCCAGGCTAACCTCAAAGCTAACAGCAGTTAGCTAACAACAGTCCAACTAATTAATCTTACCAAAAAGATAAGACGCTTCCTTCTGTTTAACGATGTTAAACATGGAGTTAAGACAATTGAAAAACGCTTTTTAACTCAAGAATAGTTTTTATTTTAGCTATAGAAAGTAACAGCAATAAACCTAAGGAGGTGTAGCTTCCATCCTAACGGTTAAGCTAAACTATGTTCCAACTTGCTCGGCTATTTTTAAATCAGTCTTTTCACGCTTCAGGAATTAATTAATTACTGTGTGGAGATAAACAAAAGATGAAAACATGCCATTTGTAAATCGTTGACCATTCTTTCCACTCACCGACATAGTGAACGACGACGCGCTGTCCCTTCTTCGGGAATGTCCGTCCTGGAAATCATTAAACAGTGTGGCGTAAAACATGAAAGCTGAGGTTCACTGCGGAGAAAATTAACTCGCAATTAAATTAAAACAAAACAAGGCTTTCCCCTCACCATCTCCCGGAGTTATCGTCTCAATTTCTACTCCCATTTTTCGCCTGGCTGTATCCTCTCTGTGAACCACCGATGAAGGAGGAAGGGGCTGAGCGGAGGGGGGCTGGGGGGTGGGTGGATACCAAGTTGTGATGACAGCTGGACTTCATCATCATACCTGTTTAATTCTTCTATTAAAAAAAAAAAAAGTTAACTGATTTTTAAACTTTATTTCAGTTTCATATGGGGAAAAAAGCCAGACTTCTGACTTTAATCTCAGAATTGTGACTTGTAGTGGCAATTGTTTGTCAAACCAAACATCAAATAAAGTTCCAATAAGCCACTATAGGCACTGGGGTCACGTTTCCTTGACGCAGGCAAAAGAAGTGGAAGTCCAAACTTGTAGATGTTTAGTTGATTTATTTCCTATATTTTGCAACATTATAGAGTTCAAGCTTTCCTTGCTCTGTCACCTCTCTTGCACTGGTAAAAACCCATAGGCCCCTAACCCAAATGCCTGCTGGTCCTTACCAGGCTCCTACTATTATAGAAAGTGGACCGCCCACATTTCTTCCTGTTTTACATAAAATAAATAAAGAAAAAATGATAAAACAACAAAAAATAGATACACAAAATTCAACAATTAACCTATAAATTAAGTCTGTAAATAATGCAAATATATATATGTTTAGTAATTAACACAATTCAAATGGATAAAGAAATAAAGAATAAATAGCTCCAACAGTGACTTTTTTCTCAGAATTCTGACTTTAATCTCAGAATTCTGACTTTTTTCAGAATTCAGACTTTTTTTTTCTCAGAATTCTGACTTTAATCTCAGAATTCTGACTTTTTCCTCAAATTCTGACTTTAATCTCAGAATTCTGATTTTTTTTCTCAGAATTGTGACTTTAATCTCAGAATTCACTTTTTTTTTCAAAATTTTGACATTAATCTCAATATTTAGATTTGTTTTCTCAGAATTATGACTTTAATCTCAGAATTCTGACTTCATTCTCAGAATTCTGATTTTTTTTCCTCAGAATTCTGACTTTAATCTCAGAATCCAGACTTTTTTCTCAGAATAATGACTTTAATCTCAGAATTCTGACTTTTCTCAGAATTCAGATTTGTTTTCTCAGAATTCTGACTTTAATCTCAGAATTCAGATTTTTTTTTCTCAGAATTCTGACTTTAATCTCAGAATTCTGACTTTAATCTCAGAATTCTGACTTATTTTTCTCAGAATTCTGACTTTTTTTTTCTAGGAATTATGACTTTAATCTCAGAATTCTGACTTTTCTCATATTAAACTGAAATACAATTTAAAAATCTGTTAACTTTTTTTTTCCTCAGTGGCCATAATTCTCTTCCATAACATGTAGACTTTTATGGTGGTTGGCAAATAACTTTTGATTGTGAAAGTAATATTTTCCTGTTGTAGTTATCATTTATTACCAGAAAAATAATTGAAATTTGATATAAATTTCAAAGAACATAAAGCAAAGAGTGGATAAATCTAAACTCTGACCAAACATTTACCAGATAAACATTCCTACATACTTCATAAATATCAAATTCGATGTTTTAAACGTTAGCCCATGGCTCTGTTTTTATTTTGCACCATATATATTTAATATATATTTAACAATATTAAGACTTAGACAAGTCTAATTTTATTTTCATTCTCCAAGTATTTAATTCTATATATAAATTACAATTTATATTACATAAAATATGGTTTATTAAGTGTTTTTTGCAATATGTCCTTTGTCACTTTGCCAGGTTTTGGAATCTCAGTCAGGAGTGGTTTTAGGTGGGGGCCAACAGGGGCCAGTGTCCCTGTAAAACAGATCCTGGACCTTGTACTGAAAACATCCATCCATTCATCCATTTTCTGTCATGGTTATCCCAAGCCGGGTTGCGAGGATTGCTGGTGCCTATTTCCAGCCGTCTACGGGCGAGAGGCGGGGTCACCCTGGACATGTTGCCAGTCCATCGCAGCGCAACACAGAGACAAACAACCATTCATGCACACACTCCCACCTAAGGAGAATTTAGAGAAGCCAATTAACCTAACAGTCATGTTTTTAGACTGTAGGAGGAAGCCAGAGTACCCGGAGAGAACCCACGCATGCTGAGGGAGAACATGCAAACTCCATGTAGAAAGACCCCGGGCCAGGAATCAAACCCCAAACCCTCTTCCTGCAAGGCAGCAGTGCTACTAACTGTGTCACTGAGCAGCCCTACTGAAAACATAAACTGCCAAATTTTAAATGCTTTCTTTCCCCCCAGAAATGGATGTATATTACCTTGATAGAAGCAGGTATTTAAGACAATTTGTAAGTTTAAATAAAGAATAAGGACTATTATTTTATTTCAAGTGCATAGTGTCTACTTATTTTGTCCTCTTTCCTTTGTTAGATTATTTTATTTACTTGCTCAAATTAAAGCTATAGTTTCAAGAAACTTTTACTGTTTTTGATTGGGTTTTTTTGCAGTGTAACACTAAATCAGTTTGTTATTATGGTATGCACTGAAAAAGAGACCCTTGTTGATTTATCAGCAAATTACAATTCAATTTTTACAATTTATTGACTAATAATATTCTTTTTTTCTGTTCTTTCATTCTTTGCCCCATTACAAGCCACTGCTCTCAGGCCCTTATAAGACTGAAATTTAATTTGATTCAATAATAACTTTATTGACATATGGTTTAGAAATGTCTTATTTTAATGAAAAACACAATGTGCTTTAAATTTATATTACCGGTAGTATTGTATTTATTTTTAAAATACTAATAAAAAAATATGAATTACAATAATAACACCTGTCCGAAGGGATCACTGTCATTTCCACTATAAAATGTAACCTGTAACTTTTTTTTAAACCTTTGTGCACTTAAAACCACTTCAGTTTTCACATGGCAGGAGCAGTAATGGCAGGATAGCAGTTAGCCCCGTGAAAGAAAGGGAAACATGAAAAAAAAAAAAAAAAAAAAAAATCAAGTAAAGTTTTGCAAAACCAAGAGTAGATTTATTGTCATCATTTCCAAACACCCTCATATTTCCTTTGAAAGAACAAGTAATGAGAAACATACAATTTGATGTTTTGTATTGTGAGCATATTTAATGTTAACTCTAAAACATAGATTAGCATGCTATGTCATGGGATTTTAAAAGAGATGCTAAAATATGTCATTTTCACAACAGTCATTTCCATCACTATATTCAATGAAATATCTAGAAATTATATTTCAGTTATTTTCATTATTTTCAGTTAATGATTCGACACATTTTGTGTCATACCAAATTAAAATATTTCTAAAAAATATGTGTTCGATTTCTGAAAAAATCATGACCAAATTTTTTCTGTAGTTGGAAGATCACATGATACAATCAGTAATCATACCCACTGCATATCTCCTTGATTCATAAGAATGTTGCTTGCCTTCCTATTTGTTTATCCAACTTAGATTTTCAAATTGCTATAGAGATGATCATAAAGAAAATGAAGGGTTTAAGTGTTGCATGCACCTCTGGCTGGAAAGAACCCATTGTGTCATCTAGAAATATTTGTCGGATAATATTTTTGGCTCCACTTTTAGACAATGGACCCTCTCTTCTTTAGACATCTGCAGCCAATCACAGTTCCCTTCCTGACAGCAAATGTCCCCACATCACTACCCCTCTACCACCATGCTATGCAGTGTTTATGCTAATAAGCTGTGTTTATTTATATTTTAGATGACTGACAATAGGCTATAATTGCTTAACTTCTTTAAAAATGTCGTCCTTAAAGTGTAAAAGCATAACCCTACCCTCTCAGACAAATTTAGAAAAAGAACACCAAAATGGAGAGTAGAGGTCAGAAACTTTACACAAAATGTCAACATTTGCACAGTGACATAAAGGTATACAGTTTATCTGTAAAAGAAAATGTTGATTTGGGGTTTAGTAACCTTTTGAATTACATGACAATGCTTTCAGACAAATAGGAAGTAATCAACTGCTGCTATAGATTTTTTTAGCAGCAATATAGCTTTATCAGTGTTTATAAAGTGCCATACGGATGTCTCCTCCCTTTAGACCCAGGACAACTTGGATTGGACAAGTGACCTTCCACAGGAGGAAACGGAAGCGTTGGCAGGGAAACTTTCACTCCGTTTATTTTCTTCTGAGCCTTGAACAGGGTGGAGTATCCGTTTTTGCCACCGAGGATTAACTTCTAACTCCACATGTGATTCCTTCCTGCTGTTTTTTCCATAAAGATTGCTGGATACAGTTGAGGAGGCGGATAACTTCACCGAGCGCTTCCCTGATGGCTGACAGCACGCTGATGGAATACAGTTGTAAAATCTGTTGAGCTTCGGGTCATCAGCATTAGACTGTGGAGAGCTTATCGGCAGCTCTGAGAGCTCTCTCTGGTCTGGAGATGAAGACGTTAGGTTTTTGCTGTGTGAAGAAAAATTATGATTTGGTCTTACAATAAATCAGATGTTATTTGTCCAAAGGTTATGAAAGCTGCTGATTTAAAACCAAGAGTTCTGTAAAGTAAAAATATAAAATAGTAAAGCATGTTAATACTGCAGTATTTTCTGTTTTTGACAATTTTGACCCCAATTATTACATAAGGAAGTGGAGTTAGGAGGCTTATTGTATCATTTTACATCATCATAATGAATTTCTATTTATATGAATTTTGATTTATTGTTTAAAAAGATTAGAAACAATGATTATTAAAAACTCAAAAAAAAATTCAGAGAATTTTTATTTTTTTGTTTTTATTTTATTTTTCAATGAGAGCTCTGGAAAGTCTGAAGAATTTTAAATGTGGTTCCTCTGGGATGTTTAGTGATATAAATCCCACTTCTTTATATTATGGTGTCCTATTTTAAATATGTATATTTTTAATTGTAGAGTTTTTCATCGTTGGGATAGGATTCCTGTGGCATGAAGTCATAGCCATACAGGTACTTTAGAAAGACTGTTAATTGTCACTTTTATTGTTATCATTACAAACTATCATGATAGGATTTTATGTCCATATGGCCCAGCCTTTAAGGAACTACCATCAGTATGTATTCCACTCTGGTATTATCAAGAGCAGCTATGTTCATGTTAATGCCATTTGGTTATTTTCAAATGAATTTAGAAATGAGAATTTTCTGCTCCCCAGTGTGGAAAATAGAATTTAATATTTCAGAAAGTTAGAGATTCTTCTACAATCATGACCTCAAAATCCAATATGGCTGCCTCATATTTCAAACCAAGTGAAGCCTGCAGGTGACCCATTCATTTAGCCTCTTTAGCAATTTTATATCATTGCAGTTCTCATTATTACATATCCAAAAAGGTCAAGTAGCAAAGTACAAATACTTCATTTCCTTACTTAAGTAGAAATTTTGGCTATCTATACTTTACTGGAGTATTTTTTTTTTTACTTCTACTACTTAAATTTATTTTTTAATTACCTCTACTTTCTATTCCTTACATTTTAAAAATAGACTCGTTAGTATTGTTTCATTTAAGCTAATTTTTATTATGGCCTGTTGGTATTTAAATATATATATATATATATATATATGTATATATATATATATATATGTATATATATATATATATATATATATATATATATATATATATATATATATATATATATATATATATATATATATATATATATATATATATATATATATATATATATATATATATATATATATATATATATACGGATAATTTGTTTCATCCAGACAATTAATTTCTTTGTGGTTGGACTCGGTCCTGCCCCAACTTGTTGTTCACCACATACCAAAATAAATGTTTTTTTTTTAAGATGATTTAAAGTTAAATTTGATGCCGTTACCATTTGTTATAAAACTAAGAAAATAAGTAGAACTAAGTTATCATCCAAAATCGTATAAAAATTTTCCTTTAATAGGGTAGTGCAGTACAGTACAGCATTTTAAGATTTTTTTTCTTGCATTACTTTTAGTTTTATACTTAACTTATTTAGTTTTAAGAATGATCATTTTATACTTTTACTCGAGTAAAAAAAGCTTAAGTTAATACTCTAACTTCTACAAAGTATTTTAAACAGTAGGATTTCTACTTGTACTTGAGTAATAAACAGTAATACTTTTGACAACTCTGTATATTTTTGTCTTTTTTAAGCTTAAAATGTGATTTTCCAGATAAGGAACTAAGACCAAGGTGAGTAGCTTGGCTGATCCTGGCAGGCGACAGAAGCTGGAAATTAACCTGGACTATAATCATGTATTTTTTAGTATTTCTACTGATTATATCTATACTATGTAAATTAATTGTAAAATGTTTTAAATAAATACAAATACAAAGCACTAGCTGTAGGCATATATCTGTGTTTTATTTGATGTAAGAGAGGAAAATTACTTTAAACATATTTTTTTCTTTGATATGTTATTTTATTCTAGTTTGTTTCCTCTTATTTTTCTTATTTTATCTTTATTCTGTTGTGCAAATCATTCTTCACTCTTCTATATCTATAAAGAGTGTCCCTGATGAACAGATTTTCACCCCCGTTTCTAGTGTGTCAAAATGCAGATGCCAGCTTTGCCCTGTGAAAAATAATAAAAATAAATCTATAAAACAATTCTTTTCATAGTCAAAGTGGGTATAAAATTGTCTAATTACACCATTTCATAGCCAGGAAAAAAAAACTGTTATTAAACAATTAAAACGGCAAAAATAAAAAGTGGCGAAGAGGAGGAATGACTTTATCTTGCACTGCAAAAAACATCTAGAAATAAGTACAAAATGTCTTAAGTTAAGTGTATTTACCCTTAATTTGAGCAGGTAAATAAGATGATCTGCCAATGGAATTAGTATTTTTACTCCTAAAATAAGATAATTAGATAATATACGCTTGAAATAAGACAAAACAATTGTTTTTTTCTTATTCTAAATGTAAATTGTCTTGTTCCATTGGCAAAGTGTCTCACTTATCTCCTCAATTCAAGAACAATGCACTTAATTTGAGCAAGAATGACTTATTTAGTTTTTTATTTTTTGCAGTTTGCATCTATAAACAATATAGTTCAGAGCAGTTGGTCTCTGCCTCTAAAGGTATTGGCCTTGTCTCTGTTGGTGTTGTCCTGACTACAACACTACAGAGAATTATTGACATGATTTAATTAACAGTGAAAAAAAAATATCCTCATACTTTTGCTCCTCAAGCTGTAAGCCTTTCCTCTCATTGACGGGGTAGGTGTGAAAGATTCCCATCCCAATCAGCAGCAGTGTGATAGGAACTGGTGAGAACAGCACAATCAGTGCTGTCGCCACTTCATCACCATGGTTACACGCACCTGCTTTGTAGCCTACGATCCTGCAAACAAGCACAGCCCCAAATGGAAAACACTAAGTGATGCTCAGACATACTAAATGCACACAGAGACTAAATCGGAGTAATAAAGGAAATACTCGCTGTAATATCATGGTTGACAGTCCCACAGAAAAGCCCCCTGCCAGCTTATTGCAGAAGGCATAACCAGAGAAAAACAGAGGGCCCAGGTCTTTAAACAACGGATGTTTCAAGGCAAAGTCATCAATCACATCTGGGAGCATTGACCTGTATCATGTAGGCAGAAAAAAAACATATTTTTTTAGGTGAAGACTCCTGAGTAGTAGGAAAGTTTCTGCAGAACTCATTGGTTGAGGGCAGGTAGATCTGATGATTAATTCATGCACACAGCATTCAGTTTTCATACAAATTGAATCTGACAGGCGCTAGAAATGATGTGGGACTTTTTATTCAGACAGACAGCTGACTCACCAAGGCAGCAGGAACAAAGTCGCCACGCTGAATCCCAACAGAATGCACATGCTCAGAAAAACTGGGAGGTTGCTGGGAACACATGCAACTGTGATCATGGCTGGGATGAAGAGCTGCAGGAGAAATAAAAAGACCTTAGAGAGACAAAAAAAAACACAAAGCTGTAAAGAGTGATGGAGAAAAAGATCAAATTTCTTACTGCAAATCCAATGAAAACTGTCCTTTTTTTCCCAATTTTCAGAAGAACAAATTGCCAAAATGGAACCGCGACTAAAGCCGAAATCTGTGAAAGGTTCAAAATATATATATTTTAGATGCAACAAGAGGTAAACCAGGACTTAAATGTAAATAGATTCAACTAAAAATGCTACAATAACATCCTTCTTACCAATAGGACCAACAAAAGAAGCTGAAAATAAGCTCCCAGTCCTGCTGCATGACTGCAGAACAATGCAAAGTTACCCAAAGACATCTGGAGTCGAACAAAATGAGAAGGAAAAGCTTAAGACTTTTAGATGCATGTATGAGTTTGGTTTAAATAAAACAGCTAAAAGTGAAAAAAAAAAGGATTATGGACATGGATCTTTAAATATACCTGGAAAGCAAGTACGCTAAAGACAAAGCCGAGGACTAGTCGTTGGTAAGGAATGTGACATATTAGCATCTTTACGGAGCTCAGATATGATGGTCTTGTTCTGTCATTAGGACAGAGGGTGTCTGGGAACAAAAAGGGATAAAAATATATCACAGAAATTACAATAAAAACACTGTGCAAATAACGAATGCAGCTTTCAAATGATAGTTTCCTTTGTTGGGAGAATAAGGCAGTTTATATCAAACCTATATGGAAAAAATAACTAAAGGTATTGACTGTCAGCAGCATTGTTTTACATCACTGTAGAGGATTTTTATTTCTTCTTTTTGCCTCATTGGAGGGTATATGACCATAGCTGATGAGATTTTTATCTAGGCCATAAACAAAACCCTAAAATTTGTAAAAAGAAATCCAAAGGAGTACTGGCTGTGTTGTTTGATCTTACTTCTTTTAACAAACCAGATCACCACACTGCCACCACCCTGTTTTACTGTAGTTATTGCTGAAATTGTGTTATTTTTATGCAAGATGTAACTAGAGGTATGATTCCCTAAAAGTTTATTTTCCATTTTGGCAGCTCACAAAGTATTTCTCCAAGAGTCCTTGGGATTATCGAGTCGTTTGAATTAAGATTTCTTTACTGAGGGCATAATGTTTTACTTTTTCAGATTATTTAGATATAGATAGATAATGTCAGACATGTTCTGTTTGCTTGATTTCTCATTTCTGGCTCTAATCAGTTCTGGGTGACATTAAAATATAGTTAAACAAAATGGTCACTAGGTGTATGAAATAGGTATTTTTGTCTAATAATAAAGTTTGCTCTCCTAGAAAAAGCAAACAGAGCTTATTTTGTGTTTTTTTTTGTGGAGTTGGGACCACTGACCGTGTCCGACCGACTCCCCCCGCTGCTCCCTCACGCCAAAGAAAAGAACCAAGCTGCTGAGGAGAAACAATCCGCCTGTGACCCCAGCTGAGGTCAGGAAAGCCTTTCGCTGGAGGCAAAACAAACACAAGGAAGTGTACCTCATAATTAATGCATGTTTTGATGTCTACAAAGTCAGATCTTTTTTTTTTTTTTACTCCAGCAGGAAATGTGATGTTAGTGAAATCCTGTTTCATGTGGACAGAATCATGAATGGGGAGTCTGTCAAAACCTGATGTATAAAAAATGTTTTTATGAAATTTAGGGACAAAATTTAAAACAGCTCCCAAGAGAACATTTTAAGTTGATACCTTGTATTTCAATTTGAAATAAAAAAATAGATGATTTGTAAAAGAGGGGGGCTTTTAATGTAAACATAGAGATATTTACACCAATGTGTTAAATAAAGTGTCTGTGGCTGTAAGGAGAATCAGGGGAAACAATAATGCAAAGAAAACTTTTTGTAACTTTGGTGGTGTCCATAACTGTTGCGCAGGTCCCTCTCTTCTTTAAAAGTTTGCAGCCAATCACAGTTCACTTCATGACAGCGAGCTGTCAGGTTTTGGGGCTGCAAAATGCCCCCACATCACTACCCCTCTACCACCATGCTATGAGGTGTCGTCTCCCACTTTATCCGGAACCGGGTCGCGGGGGCAGCAGACTAAGCAGAGACTCCCAGACTTCCCTCTCCGCTGACACCTCCTCCAGCTCTGTTGGGGGAAGCCCTAGGCGCCCCCAGGCCAGCCGAGAGACATAGTCTCTCCAGCGTGTCCTGGGTCGTCCCCTGGGCCTCCTCCCGGTGGGACGTGCCTGGAACACCTCCCGAGGGAGGCGTCAGGGAGCATCCGAAGAAGATGCCCGAGCCACCTCAACTGACTCCTCTCGATGGGGAGGAGCAGCGGCTCTACTCTGAGCCTCTCCCGAATGACCGAGCTCTTCACCCTATCTCTAAGGGAGAGCCCAGCCACCCTGCGGAGAAAGCTCATTTCAGCCGCTTGTATCCGGGATCTCGTTCTTTCGTTCATGATCCAGATTTCATGACCATAGGTGAGGGTAGGAACGTAGACCGAGCAGTAAATTGAGAGCTTTGCCTTTTCGCTCAGCTCTCTCTTCACCACGACAGACCGGTGCACCCCAAGATACTTGAACTCCTCCACTTGAGGTAGGGTGTTTATGCTAATAAGCTGTATTTAATTTATTTCGCTCCATCCTCACTGGTCACTTAATTTGGGACCCTGTGCTGATAGGTTGGACGTATTTGAACGTCTGAGCTGCTTCCATTAATATTTAATATACTTGATGCAACTCCATGTTTAAAACATGCATATCTTTTCTTTTTATTCACTTTTTAATCAACAACGCTTTAAACCTACATATTCATTGCCTTTACCAATCTCCTGAATACCACCTATGATTAAGAATCAAAAAAGGTTATTTAAAAAAAAAAGGTTCTGTGTACATATTTAAACTACTGATGGGTATAACACCTCTCCTCGTTGCACCACAGAATGTTCTGGTTGAACGGTTTGCATAAAGGCTGAGATGTTAGTTTGACACTTGACACCCACATGCTTCTTTTTAAAGATCTATCACACATAAAATGCTCCTAACATGCTGAAAAAAGCACAACTCCAAAGCTGCTCACATGTAGCCACATTTTTCTGTTTTCATGTTCTGTAATCATTTTTTTTTGTATTCCTTAATTAATTTGTTATTCTAAAGAGTGTTTAACATGGGTCTAAAAATAGTCTTTTTTGTTAGTGTCAACTTAAAATCAGTAAATAATGAGATTTTCTTATTTAGGCATCAGAGCCTGTCTTTAACCTTTATCTAATTTTCTTTTTTAAACTTAGAACTTAGAAAGTGCTCGGTCTTAGTTTATAGAGCGATGGGAGTTCTTAGGTTTGATGCATTTAGTTAATAGTATAAAATGTTTGATCTCTGAATCCTAAATCAAAGCCCACAGAAGGAAAATTGGCTTTTTTCAGTTTCACTGTTTTAATGAAACCTGTTTTAACTGTTTTATGTTACCTAAACCTTTGTAAGATTAGTACCTGAACATGAAACAATGCCTGCTTCAATACAACTACAGTAAATTATAGGGTTACGAGATCTCCCTGGGAACAGGTGAGTTCAAAGCCTGCACGTAATTGCCAAACCTTCTTTATAAATATTAGCTGAAGCTTATCCCTACTGCAGTGTTACAGTACCGTTTCCTGTAGAGAGGCAATTTGAGGCGCTGATGAGCTGTGAGGCGTTTGATGGACCTGGTCCAGATGCTCACAGGCCTCCTGCTTTTCAATGTTGTATGCAGAAACAACTTGTCCCTGAATCTCCGACACCAGCAGCATGGCCATCATCTCCACGCTCATTCCTGGATGAAACGAGGGGCAGAGAAGTCTGCAGTGAATAGAGTCAGTGCCAAAATCACTGTTAAATTGCAGATAAAGCCATCATATGCCTATCTCCATCTTGGGTGAGAAGCACTAATCTAGTTGTAAAAAAAAAAAAAAAAAAAGAAAGGGGGAGGGTGGAATTTTATTTTTTTTGGAAGCATACATAGCCTAATTAATATAGTTAATTAACCTAAAGCAATATGCATGGTATGGTTGCTGCTGCCCGTGTCCTCACTAAGACTAAGAAAGTAGAGCACATCACCCCAGTTCTAAAGTCCTTAAACTGGCTCCCTGTATTTCAGAGAATAGACTTTAAAATACTTCTGCTAGTCTATAAATCTCTGGGCCGGATTTATCAAGATCCAAGTAATTTGCGCTCGCAAACTGGAATTTTGCGCGAGGGGCTGAACCATGGTTTGCTGGTGATTTAACAAGAGTGATTGCGTAACTGGTGGCAGGTGCAAAACTGTTGGAGACGCCCTATTTAAATGATGGTTTTGCGCGTTTTGTGATTGTCCAAAATGGCAATGCTGGATAAACGATTTGTTTTGATGATCGTTTCCTCCTTCATTGCAAAACTATTCACACAGAGTGAAAAAATGCGTTCTCTGCGTCTCCTTGCTTCATTTCCTTCTTGCGACAATAACCGCTGCCATGTGTGCGCAATTACGCATACAGACCATTTGCACCTTCATTTGAAACGTGTTAAATATAGAGTCAGATACCGTTAGCAAAATTGCTTTCAGGTTTGATAAATCACTTTGCGAGTGCTAAATTAATATATTTACATGTTCTCCTCCCACAAGACGCACTTTTGCGTGTAAACGCCCCATATTGCATATTCATTGCAGAAAGTACTAAATTGATAAGAGGCGCTATTTAGCACGTTTTAAAGACCAAATCCTTTTAGCACGCTGTTGATAGATCAGTTTGTAAATTTTTTAGCATGTGCAGTGAAATAGCTCACGTTTTTATACACGCAAACCTTTGATAGATCCGGCCCTCTGAATGGCTTAGCACCTAAATACATCACAGACTTGCTATCAGTTCCCTCCAGACCACTCAGGTCTTCTGGCTCCAGCCTGCTCTGCATACCTAGAACCAGAACTAAACATGGAGAAGCAGCATTTAGTTCCTATGCTCCACTTATCTGGAACAAACATCCAGAAAACTGTAAAAGTGCGGAAAGCCTGAGTTCCTTTAAATCAAGACTAAAAGCACATTTGTTTAGGATTGACCTTCGACTATTCTAGTTAAACAGTTCAACTGAAACATCATTAGTTCAACTTTTTTATTTTCTTTAGTCCAACTGTTTTTAAAGCTACAGTGTGTAACTTTTAGCGACATCTAGCGGTCAGACTGCAGACTGCAGCAACATGAACATCTCCCCCCCACCGCTTCTCCCTCCCAACAGTACGGCGAGCGTTACGGGACAAAATGTCTTCCACGACGTCCGCATCACCTACCTTCTCAAGTGATGAGGTTTGTTTACATAGATAATTTTACAGATAGTATTTCATTAGTCTGTGTAGGGTATAGATTTCATGTAGACTTAAGATAATAAATATACCCGTTATTTTTTCTACATCGTTGTGACGTTTTGGCGATCTCGCAATCGCTAGTTTGTTGGCCCTGCGCTGCCGTAGCGCAAAGATGTCTGCCTCCATGGCTGCGAGACCCGCTCCTATGTAATTATAAATAACGAATTCTAAGGCAACGCAAATATTAAGGTTAAGAGGCTGAGCTCGTAGATGATGATAAATAACATAGTTATGTATAATATATTACATTTCTGACTGTATATCCCTGTAATTATTACACACTGTAGCTTTAATATCCTTTTTTGTTTCTGCATTTTTTTTTTCCTACTTGCTTTGATTCTGTTTTATTTTCCTGTATTTTAATCATGTAAAGCACTTTGCATTGTCTTTGTACTGAATTGTGCTTTACAAGTAAATTTGCCTTGCCTTGCCTTGCCTTGCCTTGTCAGGTACGCCAGTCATTGACCTTGACCTAGTTATTGACTAATGCAGGGGACAAATTTCCCCCTGGGATCAGCTCATGGTCATGGTAGGCCACTCGTCTGATTTTATTTATTTAGCTCAGGCTACTTTTAAGCCAACAACCCGCCAAATGTTGAAAGGGCAATATTATATTTATATATTATATTTAGATTGAACTTTAAAGTGCCTTGAGATGATTTGTGTTGTGAATTGGCGCTATAATTAAACTGAATTGAATTATAGCCATTACTCTTAATATATAGTAGACATTTTACACATTCAGTGATAAAATGTCACAGGGGATGATATTGGGGGATGATTTTTAAGATATTTTTAAAGACAGGGGATGCCACCCCCCACATCCCCCCTCAATTCAAATACTTGTGAGAGGATGGCTCAATCCTGGACAGTTTACCATTCCATCATAGACTAACACAGTCACAAAAAGCAAACAATCGATTATTCAACAGTCATGCTTTTGAACTGTGGGAGTAAGATCCCAGAGAGAACCAATGCATGCTGGGGGGAGGATATATATGAGCAAACTGCAGAATTAGACAATATTTAAACCCAGGACCTACTTGCTTAAAGTCAGCAGTGTGGCTCTGAGGCCTTTGGAAAATATGACCCTAAAGTTTATCTTTGATTTTATTGCAAAGTTTTATGAGGAAACCTGTTAAAATGTTCTTCCTGCTGAGAACTTCTGTACAATAAGATCTTTATAAAGAATGATTTGTCCAAAATAAAACTTTAAAAACAAGAATGCAAATGATATACACTGCAAAAACGATTTAGAAATAAGTACAAATTTATTAAGTGTATTAACCACTAATTTGAGTGGGTAAATAAGGTGATTTGCCAACAGATTGAGTATTTTACTCTTCAAAATAAGATAATTAGATAATATGCACTTGAAATAAGACAATGCAATTGTTTTTACTTCTTTTAAATGAAATTTGTCTTGTTCCATTGGCAAAGTGTCTCACCTAACTCCTCAATTCAAGAACAAATGCGCTTATTTTAAGAAAACATGACTTATTTAGGTTAATTTTCTCCAGTGCAAGGCCCCAATAGTGTATTTAAAATTGTCTTTATGTAGCCAGATTAACTATAATTGCCGGCAGGTAACTTAACAAGACTGAATCCTTATAAATCTAACTTTATTGAAAAGGTTTTGCAGAAAGAAATAACAGGGAAAAAAAGCAGAATAATCAAGATACTCTCCTACAAAAGCCTTAAAGTCTGTTTGAGACTAAAGCACAACTAGACTATGCTAAACACAGAACAATTCAGTGTGTCAGTTGTTGAGGAAACAAGACTCAAAAACTTCAATTTCCACTTTGATAGATGTGTGCTGAGGTTGCGCACATATCATCTCCCTCTGATTAATGTGTTTGGTTAAATTGTGAAGCATAAGCACGAAAGTAAACCTTGAAAACTTTGATAAAGCAATAAACCTGGAAAAACCTGGCATTTTAACAGAGATGTGCAGACTTTTCAGATCCACCTCAGTGGTTCTGACTTTTTAGATGGTGAGTGGTTGTGGTTCTCTTACTGTAGGCGGTGGCAGAGTCTCTGTCCCTCTGATGTCCTCCCAGAAACATATTCAGTGAGAGGTATGGGACGTTGTAGCACTGCTCACAGACAACAGGAGGAAAACATGACACCAGCTGACAGCGAATGAGATGAGAGAAACTCAGTAGCCATGGTGATGAAGTTTGGAGCACATCTAATACATTTGGAGGAAATCCTGCCACCATGGTGACGGGGAACGATTAAAACACAACATGAAGGACAGCAAAGACTAATTGTCTTCTCATAAAAAAAAAAAAAAACAGCACATAGCCTTTAACTTAACTTAACTTACTGATAAATCACTTAGATTTTACATTATAAATGTTACTTAACCAATGCAGGAAAAGTAGCTTATTTTGGAGCTTAAGTTAAGATATCCCATTGGATCCTTACAAAGGGATCCAGAACAAGCTTTTATTTTAAACTCTTTCTTTAAACAATCATTAAACCAGGCAGGAAAATACTCCAAAAAATATACACTGTTTTTCAGACACTCCAAAACCATAAGAACTCTATAAGCTTTTGAACTGAACCTTTTTATCAATGTCTTCAGGCTATATATATCTGATAAACAAAGGTTTTTATTAACTTTACAGAAAGTAAACTTCAAGTAAAACGACTGACAGAACTACAAATTTAAATAAACGGTTAAAATGTTAATGCGATGAAACAGCTGTGAATGTATATATCAGGAATCCTGTTTGTGTGGTCTGTTTTTGTGTTTCCTTTTCTCCTCCACTAGGTGGTGCCCCGTCCTCATTGGGTCTCCCTGCACACCTGCAGCTCATTGTCTCATTACCTGTGGAGTGCTCTTAAGCAGCTGACTGCCACTATCTCGACGCCAGAGTGTTTGCCAATTCAGGATACTCTAGCCATGCTTAGTTTAGCAGAGCCTAACCTGAGTTTTTGGGTACTCTAGCCAAGCTGAGTCTGCTGAGTTAAACTGAGTTTCATGTTTACATGAGTTTTAATCTTGCTGTTTTTGTCTTTGCCTCTCGGCAGGAAGTAGTGATGGTGAGATGAAGCCTCATGAGGCATTGAACCGTTTGGCCAAATTGCTTCAACGATCCCCACAGTTCATGAGGCTTCATGTGAACATGTCACCACCTACTGGTGGAGGGCAGAACCACAGTTTGTAATAAAATCTGTGATTTTTTTTTTAAATTGTTTTTCTTTTTTTCCCCTTTTAAGTTCCTTTGAAATTGTTAATGGTTGGTGTGTATAATAAAATCTTTTGTAAGTTTTTTTTAAGTGTAAAATTTCCTAGAACACTCATTTAAGGTGCACCGTTTTTCTGCCATTTTAGTGAAATAAACTTTTTTTTTGGTTTTAATCAGGTTGGAAGTTGTGTTTAACCAATCTTTTGACTAAACCGACCTAATTTACCCAATCTATATTTTTACTCGGGCAAAACAATGCAAATTAGTCTCATCAGCCAAAATAATTAAGTTTAATCGCAACTTTCAAAAGAGAAAGACCAGTCTTGAACCATCAACCTCTAGAGTGAGAGCCTGTCTCTTACAGACAGCGCCACTCATGTTGACAGTCTGATTCAGGAGAAACTCCTACTTAATACTAACGTGTTAACAGTGACTGTTCGGTGGTTTGCTCAAATTTTGATGATTACATTGTTTATTCAAACCAAATTATCTTTAAGCAACTACATTGGTTGGAAAAAAAAACAATTTATTCTTAGAATCTATCCAAACTTTATCCAGCTGACAGCAGCTCTCCTCCAATCTCCCACATCTTGACTGAACACTGAAATTGTTTAGATGCCTGTCAAAATTCTTGCGCTTCCCGAACCACATACCGAAGCGGTCACGTGGTATCACGGTAGCGAGGCCTCGGACGTCATCAATTTTGGCCCCTCCTCTACATGAATCACGCCTCGACACGCGCTTCGGGGAAACGCCCCCTCCATTACTCGACACACGCCTCGAAGCCTCGGCTCATCTCATAACATCACTAGCAGGAAGTCATCCTGCAAACTGGATGTTTCAGACCTTCTCTCCCCTGAAAGGAACTTCTGAGAACCAAACTGAGCTGAAGATTCAAGTTTGTAGTTTGGATCAACCTTTTTCCCCAAGGATTGTCTGGGGCTTCTCTCTGAGCAGGGGATTCATCTCCACAATAACCTGTTCAAGGACCGCAGGAAATGTAAGTGGCGGTCAGCTTCTCCATTCACCAAGGAACAACCGCAGTCTGAGTAAACCCTGTCCGCCCCATCATCAAACAAGACATTCACCGGAACATCCCACACAGAATGGATTCAATAAAGACACCTTTTTCTGGAAATGTGAGTCTGCAACCTATTCCTCCACTTCAAGTCAAAGAATCTAATTTCCCACTGAGCCTGAACTAACCGCAGTGTCTTCCCCTTACTTTCCAGTTCCGGTTTTGACAGTGCTTAGAGCAGCACTGTGGACTCATTTCAATATTTTAAATAAAAGTGTTAAACTTTTCCCTGGTCTCTGGTCTTCTGCATTTTGGGTCAGACCTTTAGATAAAATCATGACCGTATACATAATAATCCAAACAGTTTACTTAAAACACATTTTTGGCAACTTTCCAATCTAGGCAGCGTGTCTTGCAATAGAACGCCCATTTTGAATGATTCACATTTTATTATGCAACAACCACAAACCTCGCTTCGTTTTTATTGCCATTTCATCTGACTAAGTATTGCAGGGTTGTGAAGTGAGAGGAAAATGATGTAGAGTCTCACAAGCTTAAAAAATGAAACCGAGGCCTGCATTTACTTGTAATGTAAATCCCTTTATTGTCCCACAATGAGGAAATTCACTCTCTGTCTATCGAACCCGGTACTTGCAACCTTCTCAGAGAACAAGCACACTGCTCTAACCACTTGGTCATAACCCCCCTATTTGCCTTACTTTTAGCCTGATGCCCCTAAATAAAATCCTGTTGCCTTCAGCACTCACCTAATCAGTCAATGGATCTGATTTAGCCTCAGTTTAAACGAAGCTCTAGAGGCTTTCTTCTTCTACCCTCATATTAGGCAGATTTTGTGTAATCTGACAGCCAAACATTTGGGAAAACAATCTTTTACTGAAAAGATCCATAGTTTTTTACAGAACAACCAGCATGAAGGTAGTAGAGAAATGTAAATCAGGTTGAGGTTAAACAATATCTAAACATCATGTGAAAATCAGAATTTAGAGGCTGCAGAAGGAAAACAGGGAAAAAGGCCCAAACTAACTCAGGAGGAGCTGCACAAACCTACAGCTCAGGTGGAAAGACCTGCTGCAGGGGAAGCTGTTAGTTTTTTAAAGAGGTTGGCAGCAACTAGTTACTTTCACTCAGTTACTTTTACTAGTTCTTTCTTGGTTGAATAATTTTTACATATAATTAAGTTGTTTTTTTTTGGTTTTTTTTCTGTTAGTCTACCTACCTCGGGTTGTGTAACAAATCTGGGCTTAATGGAAGACCCGGAAGCCATGTACAGTAAGAGACCCAGCAAACCGAGAAGGGAGCTGCTATCAGATGGCAATATTTAGACTTTTAACTGTAAAAAACATAATCATGGTGGTAGCAATGTCATGCAGTAGAAATTATTTCTTTAAAGAAGCAATTTAGAGTGGATGGAAGAGTGGAGCTCAATACAGAGGCCAAAACACAGACCATTAGGAGATTATCCACCAGAACATCCATGACTGATGTTGAAGAAAGGTAAAGACGTGACTGGAAGTTCATTTTCCAGTGGAAAGACAAGTACAGATAATCAGAGCTATAGATTTTGCAATCCATGCAGTAAAATCAGAATAAAAAATGCACCCTAAGGTCAGCAGCCAGGCTTCACAAATGAAATGAGTAAAACATTATTACAACCTTTTTTTTCAGGCATTGCAGCATGTATGGCCTAAAACCTGAGTGGCATTCAGGAACTGTAGGAGACCCTGGCTCCGCATAACTCTGACCGAGTGGAGCTAAATAGATAAGCAATAGTGCACTTATCACTCTCATCACACTTCACAATATTTGTTGGTCTACCTGATAAAATACCAGTAGAATATTTTATTTGTGTTGGGTTGCGGTTGTGATGAAGAGGAAAAATGTTCCCACTATTTTCTAGAGAATGTGGTTGTCGTGTGACAAAATGTGAAATACTAATACCAATACCTTAGAAATTGTATCATACCATAATAGCTGATTTGTAAAGCAACTATAAAGATAAATATTGAGCATTTTCTCTGAAATTAGGATAGTTTTACTAGATTTACTTGGTGGCTTTCTAACCTGGAGAAACTAACGTAACTTACGCTCATGAGTGTCTCGAACAGACAGGCCGCTGTGAGGAACCACAGCACGCTGGCGGCCTCAGACATGGAGTCTGCAGGTATAAACCACAGGAGCACGTAGAACAGGATCGCAAACGGAGTGGAAATCACCAGCCTGTCAGATAAAAAGCTGATGGTTCAGATCTGGGTTGGCAAACTCCTGCAACTTTCAGAGGCAATCCTGCTTCAACAGATCTGAATCAAAGTTGCAGGATATTACTATACTTATATGAATATAACCCAGAAGGATAAATAGTGGAAAACATGCATATGCAGATCTACCAGCTGACTAACCATGGGGTAAGTTTTCCAATGGGTGTCCAGGGGCTGCGGCTCACCAGATATCCAACTAGGGGGTCAGTCACAGCATCCCAGGCCCGACTGAGGAACAGGATCATAGATACAGAGGAGGCCTTCATCTGAGCAGATGTAAAAGACAAAGGAAGAGTCACGTTAAATGTCTCTTCACAGCCTGCTCTACAATTAATAGCACCTCGGTCAAAAGATGGATAACAATTCTTAGAAATATTTGGCTTTTATTTTTTTTAGAGCGAAATCTGATAGAGAGGAATTGTGCAGTTCTTTAATAGTGTAAATGTCAGTGTTGATTTTTCTTACCTCCTTTGCAATCCTTGACATTTAGTGTGAAAACAAGATAGAATAATCTCCTAAATCTGCCTTTTTTGTTAAAGTTTGACATATTGAACTTTAATTATTATATTGTTTATTCTGATTCTTAGTGGAGATAGGCGTAAGTTAGTTCAAGCAGATTTTTCTGCCCATCATCACTATGAAATTGTTGCAAAAGGTGTAAATGAGTAGAAAAAATATGTTATTCCAAAAGAGGAGCAGCAACATAAATAAACTCCGGCCAGGTTCTGATTGCAGCTTAGAGAGTGTGCCACAGAGACACATGAGCTAACTATCAGGTTACCGTAACTAGTTTCACCTTCACAACATCCAGCAAGAATATCTGCAGAGAAATCCCTATAGCTGCTGCTGTGGTCTGGTATGGGATTCCTCCTACAGCGAAACAGATCTTCCTCATCATAGGGATCCTTCCTGACCCCTGGAGAGCAGAGAGAGGACAGACAGGAGGTTCAGAGTTGGCTCTATCTAATCTTGGGATAATTTCAGAAAGGAAAAAAAGAACATATTTCACCCTTCAGATCATAATATTCAGGTGTTTCAATCATTTCCATGGTCACAGGTGTGCAAACATGGATGATAATTTAGTATGGAGGAACCTGACTGCCCTCAGTCAGACCTCTACCCTAGATAAGACTGTTAGCTTTAATAAGAACTGTGCCCCCTTGTCCAGCGACAGTGTCTGACCTCAATTTTTTGTTTTGAGAAAAATTGTTAGAAATCCTCATAGACAGAAATCTAACCTTTGTTTAAATCTTGGAGATAAGCCGGGTAAAGGAAGCACATATGTCAGATTAGTTTTGATTTCTGACTGTGAATAAAATTGTCAATAATTTCTGTATTATGTCTGCAACTGGTGCATTAGTAAACCTGCCCGGTGTGAACTGAGGTTCACTGGTTAGTAGTATTGGGCAGGTATGTGAAAAGGGTTTAGCTTGTATAGCTGCAATTAAACAACTCTAAGAAATTTGATTTAAATGTACGGAAGAGGTTAGTAGCCTGGGTGCCATTCCGAACTTAGTCCCGCCCACAAGGTTTGAGTTCGGGGAAGTTCGGTCTGGCTCTGCTCCGTAGTAGCGCGAGTATTATCGCCCACTGTCAGGCGATCCAATCAAATTGTCAGGGCGGGCTTTATACGATGATGGACAGATGATCAAGAGTAACGTAATCAACCACGTGACCAAAGCGCGCTTGGGTGACAACAACAATGGCTGCCGCTGGAGAGTTGAGGTGAGTAGATTCTGCTATTGGGTCTGTTCTAGAAGATATCGACAGCAAATTAATTTTAAAAGAGGAACAGAGAAACACGATCAAGGCTTATCTTCTTATTCTAGACGTGAAACTGCACGCTTTGATTTTTGTGGACAACAACTATGCCTCGCTTAACATACGTCACACACTCCGTTGCTCTTATTGGTTGTAGGTCTATCCAATTGAGTGCAGAGGCATTTTTCTTCCTGGTTCGTTCGAAACACGCCCCATAATCACAGCTCTATGGAGCAGTATCAGACTCATATTCTGACTAGAATTGAGTCGGACTACGTCAGGCTAGAGGATTAGGGCCACTGAAAAAAAACACAAAGTTAACTGATTTTTACATTTTATGTCAGTTTAACATGGGAAAAAAGTCAGACTTTTTTCTCAGAATTCTGACTTTTTTTCTCAGAATTCTGACTTTTTTCTCAGAATTCTGAGATTAAAGTCAGAATTCTGATTTTTTCTCAGAATTCTGACTTTAATCTGAGAATTCTGACTGAATTCTGACAATAGAAATTCTGAGATTAAAGTCAGAATTCTGAGAAAAAAAAGTCAGAATTCTGACTTGTTTCCCATACTATACTGAAATAAAATTTAAAAAATCAGTTAACTTTTTTTTTTTCAGTGGCCCTAATCCTCTTCCGTATAAATGAATAAACTACATAAAAACTGTTAAAAAGACCTTCTTTGCACAGATTTTTAGAAAAAATTTAACAAGTAGATTAAAAGACAAAAGAAGCCTCCTTTAGGTAAAACAACCATTATACCTCAGCTAATTGGACCATAACTTGATAAACATCTAAAAGTCAAACATACCCCTCCTTTGTATCATAAAACACTTAAAATCAAGTGCAAAGCATACACCCTGTGCAGACATTTTTACATCTGCAGCTCTATCAGAATGTGGTGAAGGTCACTACAAACCCAAAGGCAGCTGTTACCCACCCTCTGCAGATCAGCGATGCTTGACTCCTCGCCATTTTTTGAGAAGATGTTTCTTAACGCCTCGAGCTGTTTTGTGAAGTGTTCAAAGCGGCTCATCTTTTGAGTGCAGGAGGAGCAGTCACCTGGGAACAAAACACTGCGAGAAGCTAAAAACCAGACCTCTGACCATACAAATCCCTTTTAGGTGAAACTGAAATCTGGTTGAGCAACTTCTTTTTGTCTAAAAGAACTCTCATGCATGCTGCCAGATCATTTTACCCCAACAGGAGGTGGTGGTCACAGCTTTCTGTTTACAAAGGTGACAAATTAATCACAGTTTTCAGTTAGAGTCATACAAACCAAACTAGAAATCGAAACTCATTCAATATTTACTCATAATTATGTGAAGCTTTACCTCCTTTAAAGGTAATTGTTTTAACAATTTAGAAAATTTCTGTTTTACCTTTTATTTATATAAAATTAAGAGAAAAAAATTAGTTTGCAGTGTGAAGACAATCAACATTAAAAGAAAAGCATATCAGTTTCATTTAGTGGTTTAAAATTAATCAAAGTTTTCAGTTAGATTCATACAAACCAAACTAGAAACTCATAGTTTTGATCGAAACATATTCAATATTTACTTATAATTCTGTGAAGCTTTACCTCCTTGAAAGGGCATTGTTTTAACTATTTAGAAAATGTCTGTTTTACCTTTTATTTATAAAAAATTAAGAGAAAAAAAGTAGTTTGCAGTGTGATGAAAATCAACATTAAAAGAAAAACATATCAGATTCATTTAGTGGTTTAAAATTAAAAACAGTTTTTGCATAAAAATAGAAAAACTGTCACTCCACAGGTAGCAGATCCATGGTTTATATGCATCAGATTGTCTACAACCGTTTGCAGGAGTCGCTCTGACCTCTTGTGGAAAAATCTATGAAAATTTCCATCATTTTAAAACTTAAAGAGGCTAAATGTTTTTTTCTTTTTATAATGTGGCAATTTCCTGTGAGTCATTACTTTAGGTTAAATGTCAGGCGCATGAGTGATGTAGTTAAAATTACATTTTTATCATGATTTCTATTAGATCATCTTGAGCAGCACATCTTCAGCTCTCACATTAAACACTGTCTGCTTTCTGTTTTTCAGTCTAGTACATGATGTTCACAGGAGTAACTCCTCTTCTTAAAGCCACATAACTCTGACCTATGAATCATCAAGCATACAAAACGTTTTTGGATCAAAGGGGTGATGCAGTGTTGTAAATGGAGCGTTTCTATGCTCTCCCCTTAAAGGGCTTTCTGTGCTCTGTGGATTCATGCCCACACACTTACATCCACCAGTGTGTGGGCAAACGTGGATGCGCCCACGGATCGGTTACATGTGGTATTGTGTGGTTTTCATGTGAACATTGACAGAAAAGCAGAAATCCAAAGTTAGGCCCAGAATTATTTATAAATCTGGCAGGATTAATATGATATAGATAACTGCAGATGGAGCTAAAGATTAGGGCAGGGGTCTGGAACCTAATGCTCTGGAGCCACTTTGGCTAAGAATGATTAAAAAAAACAAATTGTTTTATAATATATATATTGCTAAAGCATGTTTTAACATATTCTTCACTGTCTAATTGCTCAGTGTTTACAAGAACAGAAATATTTATTTGTATTTGTACGGAAGAGGATTAGGGCCACTGAAAAAAAAAAAAGTAAACTGATTTTTAAATTTTATTTCAGTTTAACATGGGAAAAAAGTCAGAATTTTGACTTTTTTCTCAGAATTCTGAAATTAAAGTCAGAATTCTGACTTTTTTCTCAGAATTCTGACTTTATTCACCGAATTCGGAGAATTCGGAGAAAAAAAGTCAGAATTCTGACTTTAAAATCAGAATTCTGAGAAAAAAAGTCAGAATTCTGAGATTAAAGTCAGAATTCTGACTTTTTTCCCATACTATACTGAAATAAAATTAAAAATAAAATTTTTTCCAGTGGCCCTAATCCTCTTCCGTAGGTCTGTTAACACAATTTTCCAAAATTATGTAGATACGTTATTAGTAATCTTTCATATATTGTCATATATTGTTTGTAGCTCCAATTCAGTTTTGTTAGCTGAAGTCAAATATTGTATTTTGTTTTTTTTATTCACAAAATAATAATAATAATAAGTTGACTAATTATAATTGCATTAGAAATATATCTCTAGAATCTTTTTAAGGGGAGATTTTTTATTTTTTAAACATCATTTTCCAAAAATGTCATCAGCCCTTTGAAAATATGTGTATTCTCTTTTCACAAGTTCTTTAGGCAATCCTGCCATTGCCTAAAATTTGTGATGGCACGATTGTAGCTTTAAAAGCTCCTGTGGTGGATAATCAGGTTGGATTGTAAAGAGCCCTGAGATGACATGTTGTGAATTGGTGCTATATAAATAAACTGAATTGAATTTATTAATACATATAATCTTTTTCTTTCTGTGAAAAAGGACATGCAATGTTTTGCAACTCTAAATTAGTTTTATAAACTGGACTGAAGTCAAAAATGCCTTTTTTGGATTGTAAAAGTTGCAGATCCCTGGATTAGGGTGATGGTAAGGAGGTCTTTCTGGCCTAAGGGGTTGGCGCATACAGCTAAACGTCAACGTAGGAGTAAAAACATTCAAAAAGCTAATCAGATATTATAAATGAATTCTGTGACAATAGATTACTTTATATATTTTTGGTGCCAGTTTAGAATACTTGTCACAAAACCATTAAAGAAATAAGTGAAAAATAAAAAATGTTTAAAAGCATAATTTCTTTTAAGAAGGAATTGATGAAAATTAAAATCGACTTTTGAGAGTTTTTTTTTTACAACCCTGTAAATTGATGGTGACCAAACAAAAAGTAGTTATGGATAAAATTAAATACAATCTGTCAAAGGAACTTAATTGCTAAAATAAAGCAATTAAATTTCAAATATTAAGGCGGGTGTAGCACAGGCTTCAGCTGGAGGATTGAGAGAGTTGTCAGGTTTTGGAGCAAGCGGAGGTTTCAGAGGAGAAGAGGCTAGGTTTATTTTCTGGATGTAGAGACGTTGGCGGGAGAAGGCCGGTCGCAGAGGGAACTGAGGATGAGGAACTGATGAACTTAATTGCTAAAATAAAGCAATTAAATTTCAAATATTAAGACGTGCCGGTTGGTGGAGACAGCAGATGGACATGTGGAATAAAGTGTGGAGCAAAAACTAAACAGCACTGGATGAATGAGGCGTCTGCCCACTTTTCATCTTGGGTGTGTGGTAGGGGTGGAACGGTTCACAAAATCCACGGTTCGGTTCGGTTCACGGTTTTCGGTTCGGTTCGGTATATGTTGATTGTTACCCTGAAATCCCATAAAAATTTATGAAAAAATCCAAAAAAAACTAATGAATTGTAACTATTTTTAATGATCCGCGGAAACCTTGGATCATTTCCGCATGTTTTGCTGCTTTGAATTTAATCATCTGGCGCATGCCCTCTACGATCTCCAAGGAACTCAGAGCGGAGCGGCCGGGAGCCACAGTGGAGGCTGTAGGCTTTGCTTTGTGCAGGCGGTCTGGAGCGCAGCGGGGCGGAGCGCTGATGGAGTATGTGGGATTTCGGGGTTAGCCTGACATGTTGGTCGTGTTGCTGTTAGCATAAACGAAACATGTTGCACAATGCTTGCACACTGTTGCACTTTTATCCACAACTTTCTTTCCGCCGTCATCGTAGGTCACACTAAATGCAAAGAGGTCCCATACAGCAGACCTATAAAGTGCTGCTGGCGCGTCTTCCAACTCCTGTTCTTTCCCACTCACCATACCCACACAATTCTCCACAACAACTGATTTTTTTCTGCTACACCCGGCTACGCTGCTTTGCTTCTTCTTCTTGTTTACTACTGGTGGTTGGCTTTGGTCGCAGTACCGCCACCTTCTACTCTGGAGTGTAAACGCTTCGCCTATGAGAAAATGGAGCAGCGCATGAACCGAATGCAACACACGCGAACTGAACCGAGACAGTCGAACCAAACGATTCAGACGGTTTTCATAAACCGTCCCATCCCTAGTGTGTGGTGGGGGGTGTTCCCAGTCAGGCTGTTTGCAACAGGACCTGCAAAGCTCCAGAAAAAGAAATGCAGGGAGCACCAACATTAACACTACTACAGCTGTAAGTAATGAAAAACAATACTGTCAGACCCAAACTCTGAAACATGGAAGAGAAATCTGGAGCTGGGAATCTGCATGATAAATAGAAGCAAACGCAACACAGCCCGATAATCTCCGATACTCTAATCAAACTATACATGTCCATTAAAAAAGGCTAAATCATATAATTTGCATTAACAGTAACCTAATTTCCGATAGAGTGTTTCTTAATGTTTTCCATCCCACTGTCACCATGTGCATGCTAAACATATGAGATGTTTGCCACACATGCTCGTCCAAGAGAAGGGATTGCTGCAAAGTCAGAGTCTTGATACAATCAGCTTGATTGGACATTAAACTTAAACCAGTTAGAATAAACTAAAGTTAAATGAATCATTTTGCAAGGATCAAAATAAAACATACGGAAGTTGAATTTAATTACTCTGCCTGAATAAACTGGATCTGTTTGTGTTAAAAATAGTGCTTAGAAACATTTATTCTCCCAGGATAATATGAAAATAAAATGAAGAGATAATTTAGAAAGAAGGGGAGGTAAACTTTCCTAGAAGTCCATATCAAAGCATGGTGAAAATTAGTGCAAAATGAAAACATCTTTTCTAATTGAATAAAAATAGCTTTTGAAGATCGACTCATGATTTGCACCATAATCAGCTTATTTTCTCTAAAATGCATCAACCAGAGGAAAAGCAATAGATTTTTGTAGTTCTTTTTATTCGTTAAGCATTTGTTTCCAGCAGAATATGCTCCACACGCCTTTAGAGACGCTGTTCGACGGCTGCAGCAGAAAAATACGCAGATTGTTCTGACGAAAAGGAAAAGAAACAAAACAAAGAAATATAAAACAAAAAGTTTCATCACCTCTCTGAATCCACAAAACAAAGAAAACTTTCTCCTGTCAAAGGGACACAATTCTTCATATTTACTCTCATCTTTCATCCAGTTTAACATTTAGACTTGAAACAGTCCAGTTCTCCATGTTTAGATTAGAAGAGGAAGA